CCTGCTATGGACATGCTGTGTCTCTGGGGCTTGGCTGCAGTAACTCTGCCCAGGGAGCAAGGGGAGGGGTTGCAGGCAGTGGGGCCAGCCCTGCCTTCCTGATGGTGGGTGAGACACTGTGGCCTCTTCAGAGTTCCCACCTCGGCTCCAATGGTCATTCTTGGGAGAAATTTCATTATCTGGAAGCAAGGAAACGTCCCAGGTGCCAGGTTGCTTGGCGATGTGATGAGCTCGTCTATCTATAAACCTTTCTGCTCCCTGGCCCTCTTTCACGAAATGACTTCTGCTTCTAGGCACATAAGCAGGATTCCAAGGAGGATAATGGTTTTGTGCCAGTCAAAGGGTACAGTCCAGGCATGAGAAGTAGAAATAAAGATTAGAAAGGTATTTTTGCATGGGTGGGGAGGTGTGTATAATTTTTGTATTTTCTAAGACATCTGTCATCACATAATGGAAAATTATTAATTCTCAGCATTACTATGCTAAATTTTTAAAATAAAAATGGTGTAAAGACTATGATGCATCCCAGGACATCTTAAAAAGCACTGATGTAAAATATATTTTGACAAATGTTTATTTGGAAGGCTTCAGGTGGTTCTAGTTAATTAGTAACTTACAAATATAAATAAAATTCCAACCCACTTTGAGTGCTGAGAGATACAGTTGAGACCAGAACAACTAGAAGTTGTTTAAGTACATTTTATTAACAATGCATCCCTTTGATAAGATTACGCTTCAGGAGGCTTCTAATGCCCGTTGACACGAACTGTACACACTATACAGCAACAAAAACAAACAAACAAAAAAAGAAAAAAAGGGAAAAACAAAAAAAGAAAAACAAAACCCAAACAACCACAACAGAAAGAAAACCACAAAAAAAAAATATCAAAAAAATCAAGGTGGGCAATACCATTTTGGGACAAGCCTCTGTTTAAATTATACACAGCTCAATGCAATATTCTTACGGAAAATATAGAAATACTTTTTCTTTCTATGTTACAGGTATACAATATAAATCAGATTTCCATGTCTGCTCAGTGACCTACAAACACTAGAACCTCCAAATATGTAGCAGCGTATTACTAAATAAAAAAAGACCACACAGCAAAGGAAGAATAAGTATTGAGAATCTACTTGATCCCTTCCCTCCTCAGCTTGACTAATTTAGATATTATCTTGTAATACAGCTTTAGGGATGCTGACAGCCTAGTATTGGAATAATTTTTCAATTAAATTTACAAAATGTCTTCCTTTTATCCCCTAAGACATTGTATCTTGTGCTAAAATATCCTACTCAGTGGTGAAATGGCAAGTTACACTTTTTGGCATAAATTACATTTCTGAAATAAAATAGTGTATTTTACAATAGCAACTCAAGCAAAATGTGCAATTTCTGCATGCTGTGGCATTGCTATCCATCTATGTTACAAAAATAGTCTAAAGAAAATCCACCTTCTTCACTGAACATACAAATCTGTTGACAACAAAACTATACAGGGAACCAGAATCAGGAATTAAACAAAAAAAAAAAGTGAAAAAGGGGGCCTCTAGTGAGATACAAACATGCCTTCTAGCATGTTCCTAAGGATCTTCTAGAGTTCTCAGATTTTAGCCTTGCCAATTATCCCCTTATTAAGCACATGGTAACAGAAGTGTAACTTCAGTACCATGTTATGGGACCTGTCTTCAACTGGCTTTGGTGAAGCTCTGAGTAAGAGGACTCCTGTGCAGCCCTGCCCAGAAGCGAGCAGAAACCTTGGAGATGCTCTGAAGCTTGGCAAGAATTTTTCCACTATGATTACTCAGCTTGAACTCAAACTCACAAGGTTAACACCAGCTTCCTGCAGTCCAAAATGCCAAATACCAAGGCCAGGACACAGACCAAATAGCAACAACTCTTTCACCTCTCACTAGGCTTTGATCACTACCTATTTAAACTCCAATAGAAATATTTTCTCCAATATTTCTACAAACCTTTCACTTCACACAACTAGTAGCGGTGTAATAGGATTTTTAAGCCTCTCACTGCACATTACAGCTCTTGTTCAGCACCATTACATATGTTTCAGCAACCAGTACTCTCTCCGCTGCCTTCTTGCACATTTATGAGGGCAGCTCACCTCAGAGCGCCAAGGCACTGTGCCCTACATGACTGAATACTTCAGCACTCCATGGTGTCTTGGGTGAAAGCAACAAAGCTCCATGAGAGGCCATCAAGGGTATGGTTGTCACGTCAGATAAGAACAAGCAACTGTTTCAAGCACAACATGCCAAGGGCTGAACATACATGTTAGGCAACCTCAAAGCCTGACTGTATCCAGCTCCAAATGACATCATTAACAGCTGGGAGCCCTCAGCATCTCTGAATTTCACACGGCTGAAAAGGTCTCTCCCTCCAAAAACACTCGCAGCACCCAGCTTTGCCCTCCTCCCCACTCAGTGGAGAGAGAGAAACCCTTAGGAAGTAACTGGGAGCCCCATGGAAAGGACCAGAAGACTAAGAAAATTAGCCAAAAAATGTAGCAGAGCAAATGTGATTGGTTTCACACTCAGCCCCTCCCTCCCACAAAGGCTTTTTTCCCAGAGCTGAATACTTTGTGTCAGCATGTTGAATGATTCAGGAACTTTCTTTGCCACAGCAACCAAACCAGGCTTATATACAGTGTAAGTGAATGCTGTCTGCTTTAACATTTATTCAACAATATCCCCAGATCATTTAGATTAGAAAAAAATAAAGCAGGTGGTCTGTCAGCTTCCCTTGCAAACTCTTCTAGGAGAAGTAGAAGGATTCTTGATTAGGGTTTATATAAGCACAGTTTTTATTTACTACTGTTTTCTTTTGAAGTTTTATCACTAAGCAAATAAAACCTCAAAATAACAATTTTGAAAGGGATATTTAAAAAAAAAAAAAGAAATTTATAGAATTAGAAATTCACAGTTTGTAACTAGGCCAATACCAAATTCCTTCAATAACAGCATCCCTTCATTTGCCAATTAAAATGAAGCACTAATGTGAGCTTAATGTAAATACATAAATTCATTCTAGCAATGCTGGCTATTATGTACAGTACAGACTTCACATCCTTGATGCACACCTGTTGAAATCTACTGACACTCATACACTTTAAGAAAAAAAGTCATGTTTATAACTAAATTTGCAGCTATAATTTGTACACCAAGTTTCTGTTGCCACGGATCCCCATACAAGTGAGTACTTCAGAACACAAAAGGATTTCAGGATGAAGACACTTTCAGAAGCATATTGACACCACTTTTGTTTATCTTTTTATAATCAGAGGCCTTTCTATGGCACTTTCTACTTTAAGTGCTATGGTTAAACTGGTAACAAAGGAACAAAGGTGTTTTTTGTAAAATACAAGTGATGAAGTTATTTTGCTTTAACTGCAGAAAAATAAGATGGAGTTGTTTGATGTAACCCCATCTAGTTATTAAAACATATCTCTCATACTCCAGCCTAACTGAGGTAGTGTTTGAAACTACTGTTTAAGATATGCTAGCCCCATTTTAGGGAAATCTACATTATTTCCTTTGGAGTTTATACCACTATTTGGTCTACTGTGACTGACATTTTGGTTTTACAGAAGCACTTGCTTCTTATGACCAGAGAAGTCCAATATTTACTGGTGTGGTACATTTTCAGAGCATTTCAAATATCCCCTGACACACAGATGTATTATTTGTGTCATTGACCACAGAAGGGTTGAATCTATTTCTTTTTGCTCTTTCAGTGGGAACTCATGAAAAGATAATCTTAGGAACCAAAATTTGACTATGAGCAGCAACTTGAAATCTGCTTTACCAGAACCTGATGGTATGCAGTGCATGTAAGAACTCAGTGAAGTGATAGCTGTGAAGTGGTGCTTATGTGGCAAGATGAAATTTCCAATAAGAGTGAATAAATTCTACAGTTCACTAGGAATCCCATTTTACTATTCACAGAGCTACTTATTGAAATCTTGTTTAGCATACCAAACAAAAATAGAGTTATGAGCATCAGGGTAAATTTCACTTATCTTAAGTACTAATTTGACAATCATAAAAAATGGTAAAAGTGAATGGATAAAAATATGTTCTACTCAGTACAGTCCAGCTGAATTATTGACCTATATCAAAATCAAAGGGTAATCCCTTCTATTACAGGCATTCTAACAAAGGTGGCCATGCTGCTGTATATACACATTTGCATATATTTATTATTCGTATATAGGCTTCTGAATCCTTAGATCCATGATAAAGGTGACAGGGATTCTTACTTTTTTTTTTTAAGCTAGCACTCAGTAATTTAGAAACCTCACTAGTAACGTGACAGAAGCAACTATTTCAGTCATTAACAGTCACTGTATCTTGTAACTTCTGCAACAAGTCTTAAATACCAATATAAAACTATATGTACTACTGCTGCTCCAAAATTTGGTACTTAAGGCTTTTCACTACAATTATTAGTACTATCTGATGCTTGATCACTCATCCACTGAAAATTTAAATAAACCTTTGTTTTTTTATAAAAGGCTGTTTCCATGGAACTTGGAAAACAATCATGTCTTCTCACAAAAGCAGCAATGATTAAATGTCTTCAAGTTTAGTTTATACAATATTCATTTATCTGATACAAATCATGCTTTTTGAAGGATTTTAGCTAAGAGTAAGACCAACATTCGTACTATATGAGTGTGAGTGTAGAAACTGCAAACACATGCATATCATTCAGGGAAAACAATCCAATTTGAGCATTTTAGTTTAAATGTTTTAAAATCAAACTGTAGTGAAAATCCTTAACTGGTTCAGATAAGATACATGTACGTAAATGTAATGAAATTGGAGAGACGGCTAATAAAATGATTTACAGCTATAGTAATATTAAAATAACTTAAATGAAACCTCAGATTCAGAGAGGTTTTTCTTTCTGTCTGAAGTTACAAACCCCCAAGTAGTGTTATAAACAGTACAAAAACCAAGAGAGAAGAGCTAACATTAATCCCCAGCATCCATGATTACAGCACGGCTCCCCGTTGCTGGAAATGGAATGCACACTCATAGCTCCGATTCCTGGTATCCAGGGGTTAAAAAGCAAGGCATTGTTCTGCTTCTCTGGAACAGAATCGGAAGTCAATAAAAAAAAAGTCTCTTTGTGTTGTCCTATTATTTTTTTTTTTTCCTTTTCTTTTTTTTTACTTTATGGTAGAAAATGAAATGAAAACTTGTGGAGGTGTTCAGTGCTCGGCTCTTGCATATACTGGTAATTACTATTATTAAAACTATGGTAATGTTTAATAACTCCCCAAAGGGCTCAGAAGACTGGGGCAGTAATTGGTTGAAGAAGAAAAAGTTTTCAGTTCAGTCTTCAGGTACCAGTAGCTTCTGGAACGGCCTAGAAGATGATGCTCCAAGCTTTTTATCCAGTCAGAGGTTGTTTGAGCATTTCAGAGAGTCTATATGCAATGCATTGCGTGAGACAGAGGTCAGGAGTCAGCTGATGGATCAATTACTGGTTGAGTAGTTGGTGTTGCTAAAATAGCCTCTGCTTCTTCATGCATCTGAAAGATAAGGACAGATGCAGTATTAATGTTACTAGAGCTTTTACCAGAAAGATAACACAAAATGGCTTCCAGTCGGACATATCTGAAAGCATCTTTTATTCAGAACAGGCAACCTGTTCTGGGCTGGCACACTTTGGTGCATTCAGTGCATTCCAACCCTCTGCTTACTTGTAAGAACTGTACATCCTGAAATAGCTCCTGAATGAACCTCCGGGATGGAAGTCGAAAAGTACAGTGCGCTAGCAAGTAGGACACCTCTGAGTAAAGGCATATGTCATCAAACGCTTGAGGATACTTCTCCTTAATGCTGAAAAGAAAAGAAAAAAAACACCTGATTTTGTAAGCCTTGAACACATTTCTATCATCTATTAAGACACTGTTCAACTAGATTCTGATTGTCATCATTAACAAAACAGAACTCCTCAGTAATAGGCATTATATATTTGGATGTGACGAAGCAAGAAAATCAAGACAGATGACATTATTTTGTATGAAACTGGAAGGAGTCTGTATTAATGAGATGAAACAGAATATTGAACTTGATATTTGTACAGAATCGTTGACATCACCTAGTCTTAAAATAATACATGCAGAAAGAGAAAGAACTGGCATCCACACATACAGCAGTAATAAATAAACATGAAAGAGCTAATTTAATCACCTGTAAAGCATTTTAAGGCTGAAATGAGCAATCTATTCTTTTAGCAGTTGACTGTCAGTTTCCAAAGTTACGAGCACTGAAACCTACAGGTTTTATAACATTTGGTCCCTGGATTTATATTCCTATATTTTAACATAATTTTATCTACCAGTTAACTCCAGTAATTCTACTCTTGCTCAAATCAGATTTGTGTTTTTTCCAGTTACTTCCAGTTTGTTATTCTGCTTCTCTGCTACACATTATTTGGTATAACTAATAAAAAAGAATTAGTGATTCTAAAAGATCCATGATATACAGGGTATGTAATGATGTATCACTACAGTTGAACTACTGATTTAAAAAAGACTGGGGAAGAGTAAGAAACTAAAGACAGAGAAAGCATATTAAAAGGAAAATTCTTTGCTTAGTTTTCATGTTAAGTTCAATCGTTCAGTCACACCTGCCTGACCATTTTTTGAAAAGTCAGAAAAAAAGTTAATTATTATTCCAGATATCTGAAAGAATACATATGACTAGATGTTTCTAAAGCATCTGAAACGCATTGAACTTACGTCAGGAGTCCAGTTTCATGGCCCTTAGTTCCTACTGAACTACTCAAGTTGATTACTAAACGTAAGACTTCCTTCCGCAGAAGTATTCTGCACACCGGTGTATCATCTGGGATCGATTTTACTCCTGGAAAAACAGATTAAACAGCACGGAGTTCAAAGATAAGTTTATTTTCTAATCTTATGCTGCTTAAGTCTGTTTCAGCATTCCATAAATTCACACACATGCACATGTGTCTATATAAGTGGGCCCTCTCTGGAGGGGAATGGGAGACTTGGTTACTTGGGATATGGAGAAGGTTGATAACTTTTCTGCCTCAGTCTTTTCTACCAAGGGCTCAAGCCCAAGTCACAGAAAAGACAGGAACTGGAAGAATGAAGATCCACCCATGGTAGGGGCAGATCAGGATCAAGACCATCTAAGGAACCTGAAGGTGCACAAGTCCAGAGGACTAGTGGGTCCTGAGGAAACTGGCAGATGAAATTGCTAGGCCACTATCCATGATATGAGAAAAATCATGGCAGCCCAGTGAAGTTCCCACTAACTGGGAAAGTGGAAACATAATTTCCATTTTTAAAAAGGGAAAAAAGGAAGACCCAGGGAACTATTGGCATGTCAGTCTCATGTCTGTACCTGGCAAGATCATAGAGCAGAACCCCCTGGAAACAGTGCTGGTAACAGCCAACATGGACTCAGTAAGGGAAAATCCTGCCTGACAAATCTAGTGGCCTTCTATCAGAGGATTAAAGAGCTGGTGGATAAGGGAAGTGCAACTGATGTCATCTACTTGGACTTGTGCAAAGCATTTGATAATGCTCTGCACTATATCCTTGTTTCTAAATTGGAAGGACATAGACTTGACAGATGGACCACTCAGCAGATAAGGAATTGGCTGAATAGTTGCACTCAGAAAGTAGTGATCAATGGCTCAATGTCCAGATGGAGACCAGTAATGAGTGTAATGACCAGTAATTCCTCAGGAGTCAGTACTGGGACAGGTGCTGGTTGACATCTTTGTTAGTAACATGGACAGTGGGATTGAGTGCACCCTCAGCAAGTTTGCTGACAATACCAAGCTGTGTGGTGTGGTTGACACTCTGGAGGGAAGGGAGGCCATCCAGAGGGACAATGACAGGCTTGAGAGGTGGCCCTGTGCAAGCTGCATAAAGTTCAACCAGGCCAAGTGCAAGGTTGGGGCAATCCCAAGCACAAATGTAAGCTGTGGAGAGAACAGATTGAAAACAGTCCTGAGGAGAAGAGTTTGGGTGTGTTGGTTGACTAGAAGCTCAACACGAGCCAGCAATATGTGCTTGCAGCCCAGAAAGCCACGATGTCCTGGGCTGCATTGTAAGAAGTGTGGCCAGCAGGTCGAGGGAGGTGACTCTCCCTCTTTACTCTGCTCTTGTGAGACCCCACCTGGAGTACTGTGTCCAGTTCTGAGGCCCCCAGCATGAGAAGGACATGGAGCTAGCTGTAGGAGCTAGTCCAGAGGAAGGCCAGAACGATGATCAAAAGGCTGGACCCTTTGAAGACAGGCTGAGAGAGTTGGGGCTGATCAGCCTGGAGAAGAGAAGGCTCTAGGGAGATCTCAGAGTGGCCTTCCAGTACCTGAAGGGGCTACAGGAAAACTGGGGAGGGCCTTTTCCAAAGGGCATGCAGTGACAGGACATGGAGGAACAGTTTTAATGTGAAAGAGGGCAGTTTTAGATTGGCTACTATTAGGAAGAAATCTCTTCTGTGAGGGTGGTGAGGCACTAGAACATGTTGCTCAGGGAAGCTGTGGATGTCCTCTCACTAGAAGTGTTCAAGGCCAGGTTGGATGGGACTTTAAGCAACCAGGTCTAGTGGGAGGTGTCCCTGCCCATGGCAGAGGCGTTGGAGCTAGATGATCTTTAACGTCCCAAAAGGCTGGACCCTTTGAAGACAGGCTGAGAGAGTTGGGGCTGATCAGCCTGGAGAAGAGAAGGCTCTAGGGAGATCTCAGAGTGGCCTTCCAGTACCTGAAGGGGCTACAGGAAAACTGGGGAGGGCCTTTTCCAAAGGGCATGCAGTGACAGGACATGGAGGAACAGTTTTAATGTGAAAGAGGGCAGTTTTAGATTGGCTACTATTAGGAAGAAATCTCTTCTGTGAGGGTGGTGAGGCACTAGAACATGTTGCTCAGGGAAGCTGTGGATGTCCTCTCACTAGAAGTGTTCAAGGCCAGGTTGGATGGGACTTTAAGCAACCAGGTCTAGTGGGAGGTGTCCCTGCCCATGGCAGAGGCGTTGGAGCTAGATGATCTTTAACGTCCCTTCCAGCCCAAATCATTCTGTGATTCTATGTATTCTGAACTACCACCAACTATTGCCATTTAAATAGGAATTTAACCCTCCCCTATTATCAGGAATTTTAACACAGAAATATTTAAAAAAGGTAAACTACCATGTAATAAACGGAAAATCTGCAGGATCCAATTACAGTATTGTTCCTACCACTAAATCATGTAGTAAAATGGGCAAGTGATTACCTGCTCTGTTTCTATCAGACTCTGGAGAAGTTAGTTATGATAAGACATGATAGTTCAAAACGTAAAACACAAGCCTAAAAAAGAAATTTATTTCTCTTTATAGAAATTTAGTACTTTTACAATTTTTTCTTTTTTAACACCTGTGTGGAAAAAAAAGGCAATCAATTGGCTTGAAATGTTGGATGAAGAGCTATTTAATAACGTGCAGAAATGCTGTAGAGGAGGAGAAGAGTTTTGAAGTACATTCTCCCATCTGCCATTGCCATGGCAATTCAACTGTCTTCCTGGATAACAAACCATTGAAAGGGATTTTCTTTATATGTTGTTTTTATTCTTGTTATTTTTTAATTTGTTTTGGTCTCATTTTTTTAAATAATGAGCATTATTTGGTTGTAGTATGTATAAATGAAAAATTATACTTCCACAATATCTAAAAAATACTTTAAGAGTGTAAGTTTCTAATAACAATAAGGCTTTCAAACTTACCCAATACAAGCTCTGTACTCTTGGTGCTGCTAGCTGAACCATGGGAGACTGCATCACTGCAGCCTGAAATTCCAGAAAATTTGGAGGAATGCACATCTAAGTGATTGTGTATAGTCTGCCCACACCAGTCAGTGTAAGAAATGTCTGAAAAATCTGATATAAACAAGATATTGGATATTTGTTATTCACAGTTTTCCTCACTTCAAATGCTTTTCTTATTTTCCAACACTGGTAAGCACGCAAGATACTGTTACACTAAGTACTGTGCATGTAAACCAGCTGAAATTAGATTTTGAATTTTGGACAAACACTGCTCAAAACATCTAAAAAAAAAAGTTTTTTTGAATCTTAAAATACTTGACTGAAAATTATCAACTCTGGCTTCCACAGATCACTTAATTCAACCCTTGGTCAAAGAAGGGCTCACCTCAAAATGAGATCAGGTTACACTGCAAAGTTTCCTCTTACTTTCAGCTGGAATTTCTATTCCTCCACCATGTGTTCGTGGCCTTCCGCCCTTTGGCTGTGTGCCTTTGACAGGAGCCTGGCTCTGCTGCACCTGTAATCCTCTTACACTCTTTGAAGACTACAACCGGGATTTTACTTGCCATCTCTTCTTGATAGAAATGACCATAGAAATACCATCGATTTCACAATGGGCTTATTAAACAATTAATTTAAAGGTCAGTAATTAGTAAGAAAAAAAACCCCAAACACCTTACAGATTAACCAATTTTAAAGATGAACAAAATTCATTATTTTCACACTTCCCCACAAGGAACACCAACCTGTACGACTATAAGAAGAGTTCACTTTGTTGTTAGGCTGATAACCCAGTATTTGAATGCAGACACAGTAAAGGCAGTTCTCATCCGTGTGCTCCTGTAGTCCTGTATCCTCTGTATTTTCCAGAAACTGAGAGGCATCTGAACGACTGGTATTCATTATTTCTGTGAGACTGATCTGCTGTCGGAGCATCTGAAAAGGGCTTTTGACAACATCACTTGTACCTGATGGAAGACCTGTAGATGAGCAACTAGATGTCAGAAACAACACCTAACACATGTATTGGTTCCTATAAATTCACATGTAATCAAAGAGAAGTAAAAATGTAAAAGCTCAATATACACATGACATACATATTCTATCTTAGCTTAAGTTTTGTTAGTTATTAGCACTACCAACCTTTGATTAGCATTAGCTTGTTTTATAATCAAGGATACACACACTTTCCTCATTAATTTATTAGAGCAGGAACAAGCTTCTATCACTTGGAAGAAACACCACATTATCTCAGACTAAAATAAACAGTGAACTAATGGCCTGATATCCTGAGTCCAGAATACAGCTCTCAAAACTTAACAGCTAAAAATAACCTTTTCCATAAAGAAAAATCAACAAATAAACCAACACTACACCCAATGTACGAATAAACAACAGAAAGGTACAGTAGAGGAAGAAAACTGCTACCTCCTGCATCAGGTGCAAAGACCCTAGCCCCACGGTCATCAAATGGAGGTGTGGTTTTCTTCTGGAAATATGGAGTTTCCTTTACCTGCAGTATTGGAAGTGAAAATTAAAATTAGCATAGGTGATAATAATATACAAAGGAAAAACAGATTTTATGAGGAAGTAAGATGCCGTTCATTCTTTAATTCAGGAAAGAGATCTAATTAGAAGAGGAAATTAGAGAATATGCTCCTGACTACTAAATAAAAGACAATGAGAAAAACAGTTTTATGAATGAACACTTGCTAAGCAAGATTTATGAACAGTTAGTAAATGTTAAAACACAGTGGTGACAGTCGGTAAGGAAACCAGTGACCCAGAAGTAGCTATTAGTGATCTCTCCATGGTGACTTTACAACACTGGATATCTTGGGAGAACCGTGCAAACCCATCCAAGACACCATATTGACTCTAAGATGTTGTGGAGTCAAGTAGAAAAAGAGACAAGAGAGAAGTAGTTAGGCAACATAAATGTGCCACAAAGACTGTGAAGGAGAGAGAAAAAGTAGCCATTTCATAAAGGAGGAGTAGAAGCAGGCATCATGGAAAATCTTGCCTTTGCTCTAACCTTAGTAATTCTTTGAAGGTAATTTAGGTTTGAAAGGCAAAGACTAAGTAAACTAAAGAAAAAGAAGCCAGTGATTTACTTTTGTCATAGACCATGTCCTGTTTTTGATAATTAATAACAGAATATTAAACTTCATGGTGTATCAGCTTGTTCTGTAGGAATGTGCTTTAAAAAAGTAGAAAGAGGAAGGTAATTGATCAAGTTCCAAACACCCTGTCATAAGCAGGGAACCCTACCACTAGAGCAGGTTGCACAAAACCATCCAACCTGGCCTTAATCACCTCCAGGGAGGGGGCATTAATAACCTCCCCGGGCAACCCATTCCAGTTCCTCACCACCTTTATAGTGGAGAATTTCTTCCTAATATCTAACCTACATCTCCTCTCTCTGTTTAAAACCATTACCCCTTGCCCTATCATTATCTTCTCTGATGAAAAGCCCCTCCCCAGCTTTTCTATATGCTCCTTTGAAGTACTGAACGGCCACTATAAGGTCTCCCTGGAGTCTTCTCTTCTCCAGGCTCAACAGCCCCAACTCCCTCCGCCTGTCTTCATAGCAGAGGTGCTCCAGCTCTCTGATCACCTTCATGGCCCTTCTTCAGATCCTTTCAAAGAACTCCATGCCTTTCCTGTGCTGACGACAGGAGAACTCCAGCTGAGGTGTCAGCACAGCAGAGCAAAAGGGCAGAATCACCTCCCTGGCCCTGCTGGCCACACTTCTTTTGATGCAGCCCAGGATGTGTTTGGCTCTCTGGGCTCCAGCACACACTGGTGGCTCATGTTGAGCTTCTCATCAACTACCCCCTCCAAATCCTTCTCCTCAGGGCTGCTCTCCAGCCATTCTCCCCCCTAACCTGTATCTGTGCCTGGGGTTGCACTGACTCAGGTGCAGGACCTTGCACTTGGCCTTGTTGAACTTTATGAGGTTGGCACTGGTTCACCTCTCCAGCCTGTCAAGGTCCCTCTAGAGGACATCCTTTCCCTCTGGGGTGTCAACCACACCACACAGCTTGGTATCATCAGCAAACCTGCTGAGGATACACTCAATCCCACTGTCCATGTCTCCAACAAAGATGTTGAACAGCAATGGTCCCAGTACTGACCCCTGGGGAACACCACTTGGCACCTGCCTCCATTTGGACATTGAGCCATTGACCACAGCATTCTGGGTGTGGCCATCCAGCCAATCTCTTATCCACCGAGTGGTCCATCTGTCCGGTCCATGTCTTGTCAGTTTGGAGACCAGGACGTCAAGTGGGACAGTGTCAAATGCCTTGCACAAATCCAGGCAGATGATGTCAGTTGCTCTGCCATCATCCACCATCTCTGTAGCCTCGTTGTAGAAGGCCACCAGATTGGTCAGGCATGACTTGCCCTTAGTGAAGCCATGTTGGCTGTCACCAATCACTTCCTTATCTTCCATGTGCTTTAGCAGAAATTTCAGTAGGATCTGCTCCATGATCTTGCCAGCCACAGAGGTGAGACTGACTGGCCTGTAGTTCCCTGGGTCTTCCATTTTCCCCTTTTTAAAAAGAGGGGCTATGTTCTCTTTTTTCCAATTAGCAGGAACCTCACCAGACTGCCATGATCTCTCAAATATGATGGACAGAGGCTCAGCAACTGCATCTGCCAGCTCCCTCGGGATTTGTGGGTGAACCCCATCAGGTCCCATACATTTATGCACCTTCAGTTTCTTTAGATGGTCACAAACCTGCTCTACTCATACAGTGGGGGGCAATTCACTCTCCCAGACTCTGCTTTCACATGTTATGGCCTTTGTGTTGAGGCTGGAGCACTTGCTAGGGAAGACTGATGCAAAGAAGTCATTGAGGATCTCAGCCTTCTCAGTATCCTGCGTTGATAACTTGCCCGTTTCCTTCAGGAGAGGGCCTACACTCTCCTTGGATGTCCTTTTCTCCCCAACATACCTAAAGAAGCTTTTCTTATTGTTCTTAACATCCCTGGTGAGATTTAAACCTGATCCCTAGCTGCTCAGACAACCTCTTTCTTTAAAGAAACTTTAAAATAATCTTTTTGAACTTAAATACATGTATCTATAAGGATAACTGAAGACAAAATAAATTATATCCTTTATGATATATATAACATAATATTTAATCAAGATCATGGCAGCAGGAAGTTAACCGTACAAATATGCACATCACGTATGGCTGACTAATGCACGTATCAGTGAGTAGGTCAGAAAAGTATTAACAAATGTCCACAGACTATGTTCATACTAGAATTAAAGCCAGATAGCAATTAACATCTTGTAACACAGTACCTATGCTACCACTGTTTAACGCTCTTCTAACCTAGCCTGTGTCATTATTTGTGTAATAATACAAAACAGACTCTGATTTTCTCTGAACAGTTAGAAAAGGAACTTGTTTTCCAAAATGCGTTCCTTGAAAGTACCATACCCATTTCTCCTTTCTCTAGATCTAATATATTCTGATTAAAATGCAGCAGTTGAATACCTTTCAATATGAAAGCATAAATGAATCCACCAAAATTATCACATACATACCTGAAATATCTCATTGATATCCACTGGAAGAGCAAGGCCAATATAATCATCAGAGCTACCATATGTAGCATTAGAAACCATGGAGCGAACAGAAGAGGAACGCTGAAGTGTGTTTTGGTTAATAGGACTTAGTAAATCTTCTTTATCTAATGAAGCATAACTTAAAGCTTTCATGAACCTGTAACATTGAAACAAAAAAACATAAATCACCAACTTGGTAAACCTCTTACTCCTGTGCAGTAAAAGTAAGAATTGCTGACACAAATACTATCCCTCCTCTTCACGTTGCAGATCCAGAGTTTTTTACTCTGTCAAATTACTGCTACAGTAGGCTTGGCTTTTTTCTGCCTCAGCTGTATTGCATGGTTTTAGCAGTTTCTCAGGTAATTTTTTTTTTTTAATTTTCATAAGACTGCACTTGGAAGAAAGCAGGATGCAAATTCTGCTTGAGGAGCTGCCAACCCTGCAAACTCACAAATCTTCTACAACTTACCAGGCTTCAAAGAAATACAGACCAGACACGGTCAGTGAAGATTTTAAGCTTTTAAATGGCTAAAATGTATGTTTAGTTTGAAATGTACATATACACTGAATGCACCTTCCCTACATGCTCACAAACTCTGAGCAAGGACATTCCTGCAAACACTAAGCTTGACCCTGCTTAGGGTACCAACACTGCGAGCAAGGAATCTGTTTTTCCTGCACTCTAGAGGAACCCACCCATTAGGTCACCCAAGCATGGAGGAATGCACAAAGAACAAGCTTGAACCTGTACAGTGAGCAGAGTTGACTGACAAGCAGCCTGAAGAACAAAAAGTCTGGAAAAAAAAAACAAACAGCAGAGGAGGCTGGAGAGCAAGTCCTCAGTGCTCATCAGAGTCCTCATGACGGAAATTTCACATTTAGGCATCTGTTACTCTACTTCTCACTGAAAATAACAAACTATAAATGTTTTCTGCTAATCAACCTACATAGATGGTCTATATGTAGTGGATTAAAGCCTCTTAGTAAAAAGAGACATCTTGGGAACAGTAATTTTTGTATTGTATTACTGCAAATTACTATATATTGGGAGGTGAAGTACAGCAAATATTTCATTTCTTGACTTTGTCTTAGAAATAATTTTCTATTTTTTTTTTTATTTGAGATGGACAACTAAAATGTCTTCTTACTCCCAGCAGTTTTACAGATTTATGCTGAGATAAAATTATCAAGGTTTGATCATGCAATGTGGAAGACAGTATTAAGCAAAGGGAATGTGCAGAATACAAATTACAGGATATCAGTAGTTTTCTTGATACTACTTTTGATCAATGCTAATAATTTCAGTAGAAGTTGGCTCACAATAAAAGTCAAGCCACACTTCAAAACACAAAAAGTTACCAACTGCATTAGTTACCTTGTAATAAAGCACTCTGCAGTTACTCTCAACATGAAATTAAAGATACGAGTACTAATCCTAAACATTTGTCCCTGCTTTTGTTGGAAAAGCTAACAGATGTATCATTAGTAGTGATAAACACCAACACATTTTCATAAAAGCATGTCTGCACATGACCGGGTCAGTGACATAATCAGGATTTCAGACATGCACGTTAACATTTTTTGTTGGTCTTTAAAGACAGATGTGAAAAATTGAGCCTCACAAAATAATTCTGCAAAGTAAACTTTTCAACCTTTTGAATGAAAAGAACAACTAGAAACATCATAAAAGCAACTTTCAGCTGCTTGTTTTGCTAAACACATTAATTTGTCAACAAAGCATGAATCAAATAATTTTATTCTGAAGACTGACAGAAAAATAGCCTTGGCATACAAAAATGGACAAAATGTTTCTTTGCAATTTATAACTTAAAGAGGAGTTAAGGACAACACTTAGCTAGAAGTAGTAATTTACTGTGGTGTTAAAAGGAATACAATTACTCAGTGCAGATACTCAGCTGCAACCAGTAAGAAAATCATGTACTAGCTACACTAGACTTTGCAAACAATTGTATTAGTCACCAACACCATCTGAAAATCTGTTGTAATATCTGCAATATTTTAACCTTCTCCAAAACACAAGCGCTTCAGTCATTTAAGTTCAACCTTAAAACAGGTCAGTTCAAATCCTTGAGCCTAACTACTGACGTAAGAGATCACGAACAGCTAAGCACCAGGAATACTGTTAGCATTACATTGCATGCTGGATCTCTGGGTTGAAGTCCACTGCAGCAAGGCATCTTTGCTTATCAAGGGCATGACTGCAAGGAACAGTATAACATTACTACAGCCACAATGTAGCCTGTATTGTCACTGAAATGACACTGCCTTGTTCCTGCATCAGCACAGGAAGCCAGTGACAGAGCAACGAACAGCACTTCTGATTTCCAAGATGGCACAGCTTAACTAGTGAATCATCCTTACTTTAATTAGCACACTCAGCCTAGTTCTAACTTAACTGAAAAAAGGGAACAAAACTTAGCTTTTATGGGATCTTTGCAGAATCACATGAAAATCCCCCCAAATGAGTGGTAAACTTCACCAGGAGAAAACAGCATAGCAATAAACAAGCTCTGCATACCCTCAAGTGAGCATATGGAGTGCAGTTCAGGGACTGGGCACTTGCTGTTCTGCGCAGTAAGCAGGGGAGTTATGTATTGGCAGCTTCTTCCTCTTCTCTCATTTGAGAGAGGATGTTTAAGTAAGAACACAGGTAGAAAGTTTCTTTTCCCTTTCAATAGTAACATGAAAATCCAATGCAATAGCATTGAGATTACTTGAAAAGAGACATTTGGTAAAAGAGTTTTAAAGAGAAAGTTGTTAAACTCTGATTGCAGATGCTGGGAACAGTGTCAATGTCATGAGCCAGATACTTCACGTAACTGTCCAATTAGTCTTCAGAACATCTAATATTACTCAAAAATAAAGAGGTGACACTGCCATCTAAAAATAAATGATATGAATAAAATTTTAGCTCTGTTACAGCTGGAAAGCCAAACTCACATTCATTTTAGTGGTACCAGCATCTCACTATTGGCTTCAATGCCACAGTGAACACAGGTACAGCATATTGGCATGAGTCCCTGTCCTATAATCTCACTAAGTTACACTGAGAAAATTCTCTTCTGAAATACAGTTCTGATTACATGGGCAATTCTGTGTGGTAGCAACTTTAATAATGTCAGCAGTGTGGTTACATTTAAATACTAAAAAAGCTATACAGTAAGCAAATGTGATAAAAGGAAGCATTTTTCTTCTTCACAAACAGCATTAAAGGAGCTGAGCATGGCTAGGACAGATGGGCTTCTCTGACAGCACTTTTAAGTTGGGAAATTCTGCTCTATTCTATTCCCCTAACCCAATCTTCTCCTAATATTGATACTGTTTTCAGAGAACTTATGAGTCATTCTGCAACAACAGTCACTTTTAGGTGAAGCTGGAAAAAAATACTAGAAAGATAATTTTCTTATTTATTTGCTCTTACAGCTCTAAAGAAGAAACAAGCATTTAACAACCTCTTACCGGCTTGGGGTTAGCCGAGAATCCAGGCTGCCAGACTTCATAGTAATAGTGTCAGTGAACAGCACGTCCTTTGCTGGAGATGCCAGGGCTTCTGAGTGAGACAGTGAAGGATGCATTCTCTGCTGTTGTAAGCGCTTTAGTGTAGCATAGCCAAAGGCATCTCGAGAACTTGTGTAGCTAAAGTTATAGTCAGCAAGACTTTTTATTGTAGCAAGAGAAGGAGCTTTAAGAGACTGAGCTCTTCGGGGAAGTGTATGAGAAGACCCTGGTGGTACCAGGGATACAGAGTTGGATTTTGAAAGAGGCAGGTGGTTAGACTGTGGTGTTGAACAGTGACTTGGTTTAACTGTTTTTGTGCTTACCACAGTACTCAAACTTCCACAGTCAGTATCTACATTTGTAGTGTCCGCACCTACAGTCTCCCTTGAAGGGCTAGAGCTCATTGAGCTTATGCCACTTGTTGTGGTATCTGTATTAAAACTTAAGCTACGACTCTTGAAATGTGTTTGTGTAGTACCATCTCCTATTAATCTTTCTCTGCTTGTGTTTTCCCGGTGAATTTCATTTCCAAGACCTTTTGGCAGCTTCAGATCATTTTCTCCAATACTTGGGGTACTATCAGTATCTTCCATGTGCTTACTTCCAACAAAAGAAGTTTCTAATCGTAAAGTCTGGATTTTAGGAACTCTGAAAACAGTGTTGAGTTCCTCCCCAGCAGGAAAGTCTATGCTACTGGAAGGTTCTGTTACTGTACGATTTCTCCTCAGGGCTGATTTACTATCAGATGATGACAGCTTTCCTACTCCTTTTGGATCACTGCTACTTCTGTGTTTTTTATTAGGCAGAGTAAGAGAGTTTAGAATACGGTTTTTCACAAGTCTGCTAGAGGAAAAAAAAGGAAAAGGACTACGGTCTTTGTCCTTTGAAGGTCCAGGTCTGTCATAAAATATTTGTTCTGCATCTTCAGTAATATCTAAGAAGAACGTACTAGTGGAAGTACTACCAAAACGGTCATCTTCCATGATGAACATACCTGAAATTATATGAGACTTTTTCAGGACATACACTTTGAAGAAATGTCAATTTTCAGTGACAAAGTATTTCTATAGAAGCCAAGTGAGATAATGTGATTTATATTACAGAATATTCTTTTGAGGACCACCAAGACCAAGTAAATGGTTGTTGTATCTAAGCATGCAGATTTCTGCAGGGTACTATTACAGCAAACTCCACTAACTTGATATGAAAACTAGTAACTTATCCTGATGTTAAAATTTTTTACATCTACACCAAATATAAACCCAAGACACTGTTCTCTTCCCTCTCACATCTCCCTGAATGCATGGTAACTCTGTCCCCTTGCTTGCACTTCTCTGCAATAGCAGCTTTGTCTGAACCTCATCCTGCCAAAAAGTTCATACAAACATAAAGATTCTGTTTTGGGGTTTGTTTCTTGTTGTTTGGTTGGCTTTGTGTTTTTTTTTCTTTTGTTGTTGTTGTTACTTACTGGAAGGAGCAGATTCACTTTCACTGTTATGCCTAGAACTGGTGGACTCAGAGTTCAGGCTAAGAGTGCTGGGTATAGAAGAAAGTTCATTGCAGAGCTGCTCCATGTCATCAGGGACCACCGGCCAAGGCTGTCTACGACTGTGTCTCACTGCATCCCAATTGTGATGCTTCAAAATGTCACATCCTTGTTTAGTTTTGGCTATCAGACCAAGCACGTAGACACAGGTTCTGTATTTAATGTATATGTAGAAAAAAGAGCAACAATAATAGCATCTAATTCAACGACATTCTTACTTCTCTTTTGCAAGAAAACAGCTTCAAAACAATTCAGCAGAAACTTTGCAAAACTGCCAAGTAGCTTTTTGTTCATTTTTAAATGCAAATAGAATAATTTTAAATGCAAATGGAATAATTTTTAAATGCAAATAGAAGCTTTAAAAATGCACAAAATCATCTGAGAACAATAGAGTATTAAGAAAAAACTAGTAATTACAAGAACCTGATTACATAAAGTAGAGAAAGAACCTTTTTAAATAAAAGGGAAAAAAAAGGATGAACATTACTGCAGTAGCAATATCAGGCAAAGGACCAATTATTTTAAGAGTCAAAACAGATAATTAATAAAAATAGTGGCATAATAAACTGTTTCCAACAGAGATATTTTAATTGTTTTTAAGGGAGATAGGAAGTACGCATCTTTTTTCATGTTTTGTTTGCTTAGCATATGTTTTTTCAGAGTTCCTATACAATGTTATGATTGCATAGGACTGAGATTGATATTCAGTCACTGATGACCTTTAAAAGCAGACTTCCAACTAAGTTCATAACCATATTCATGTAAACTAGATATTTGAAAACCTATGGCAACTACAACCTGTAAATTTTATGTATAAATCAGATACACATACCCTCTAACAGAGAGAACCTCACAATGTTGGGCAAGTGCCAGTATATCAGGAATTACATTCTCCTCTTGAAGCAGGTTAAGACCCCAATTTGATGATCCAATGTTGCCCTGGAATAGAAGTTTGTCAAGTAAGCTTTGATGTGACCGATAGTCACACCAGATTATCAGCACTATCTGTGTAAAGCTTTCAACATTTTTGTCTGATAGTAGTACAGTTTCAAGCCACATCTTCTCAAAGCAGTTAAGAGAGTTGAGCACCCTTTTTGGCATTTCCTACTAATGAAAATCCAAAAGGTACTCAATACACCATTCGTAATACCCGAACTGCTCATGGTTAAATACTATGTATTCCTCATGTTATCATGTCTACTACAGCCAGCACTATGATCTTGGTTTACTCATTTTACATTCCTCTTACACAGCCACTTTATTACACACTTACAATATCTTCCACTAATAGTCACCTTGGAGAAATGTTCCAAAATAAACTTTGGGGACAAATGGAAAGAAGCAGACAAACAGCTGAGGTGGCAAAGCAAATTCAGTGTAGCTTGGACAGGCACAGACACTAAGTTTTCACCAGTCCCAAGAACCAGGAGTGTCACTACTATATACACACTCATACACATCAACAGTGGCAGCCAGCTTTCGTCCAGAAGCACTGAATTTTGCACCACCTCAGTACATACATTAAAATCAGACCGCAATGACTTCTAACTACTGGTTCCATACCAGTATTGTTGCTACGTGTGGCATCCTGCTCTTTTTATTTCTTAAAATTGAAACAAACTTGACTATTAGAAAGCTCAGAACAAAAAAGGTGCACTGAGACATTTTTAACTGAAGTCCAGCTAGGGTACAACTTGGAAAGCAAAACTAGAAATAAGCACACAGTTTATGACAAAAACCCTAATAAATGGTTTAATGGGACTGTATTTAGTTATTTCAGACTCAAAAAGTCATAACAGAACTAAAAAAAAGCACAAGAAGTTTCTAAATGTATTACTAACCAAGGCCCAAAGGGCTGCTTTCAGCTGCTTAATTCCTTCCCATTTATCCAGCATTGGGGAACGAACAGTATAACTTAGGTCTGTAACAATACTCTGAAGGAGAAAACAGAAGAAAAAAAGACTCAGCTGAAAACAGAAAGGGTAACTCAGTCAAACAGGTTCTCTTGCACTTTTATTAAAAGGTAAAATGCTAATTTAAAGTATGCACCCTAAAATGAAAATAGTTCTGGAATAATATGCATAGATTAACAGCAATGCTAGTACAAGTAGAACATTTTAATGTAACCACTGATTACATCAAGTTAATTCAGATTTTATAAAGGTAACAGATTCATTAGGTTAACATGCTGTAATACATAAGCTCTCTTAAACTTCTCAACTATCATATTAAATTAATGACATCATCTTGTAAATCCATATTGAAAGTTAATTCACTTAGAACTATGACCTGGCTTAGGGTTTGGTTTCTTAGCTTTTCATGGTATTAGAAAGCAGATTTTAATTCCCTTATGTCCATGTTTCTGTATGCATAAAAGGACAGAAACAGTTTCAATTGTCAATATACAATTCACTCATATACAGACTGAAAAATTATTTCTATTGCCAAGTTGTTTTCCATTCTAAGATTTTACTAACCATTTTAAGAAAAATGCTGCAAGGTATTTCTTTGATATTTCAGTGTCAGGAAGGAATTTTACATAAGACTAAATGACAAAGATTGCCTTTAAAACTTTTTAGTCCCACATAACTGGAGACTTTCAGAATCAACTTATTTTGCAATGACTGTTTAAATGTAATTTCTTTCGAAACATATTTTGAAAGGGTACAGTACCCTTTAAAAACCATTCAACTTATAAATAGTTATTTTCCTCACCTGAGACTCCAATAAATGGCAGCCTGTTTTATGGTGCACCAGCTGGCCATAAAGGTGAACTGGCAGGTAGACGTGTGGTCGCTGTAATCTGGCAGAAAGAGAAACTATATGTTTTCTCAACAATTCCAACATTTTCTTCTAACATAAATTACACTTCAGTGTAATGAAATGAGTCACTTGAGTTTTTTCTGAGGAAGAGGAATCTTCAGGAGAATTAGCATTTCAGTTGGAAGAGACCTATAATGAACATCTAGTGCAACTGTCTGAACCACTTCAGGGCTGACTGAAAATTAAAGCATGTTATTAAGGGCATTTCCCAAATGCTTCTTAAACACTGACAAGCTTGGTACATCTACATCTGTCTAAGAAGCCTGTTCCAGCATCTGACCACCCTCCTGGTAAAGAAATGCTTCCTAAGGTCTACTATAAACCTTTCCTGGTGTAGCTTTGAAACATTCCCATGTGTCCTGTCACTTGATAACAGGGAGAAGAGCTCAGCTGTAGAGAGCCATGCATTGCCCCCTCAGTCTCCTCTTCTCCAAACCAGACATGTCCAAAATCCTCAATTGCTCCTCACATGACACTCCTTCCAGCCCTTTTACCAGCTGTGTTGCCCTCCTTTGGACCTTCACATCCTTTGTAAATTGCAGTGCTCAGATCTGTACACAGTACTTGAAGCTGCACCAGTCCTGAATACAGCAGGACAATCACCTCTTTTAATAGTCTTGGTATGTTTTATGCTCCCCAGGATGGAGTTTGCCCTCTTGGCTGCCTGAGCACACTGCTGGCTCCCCTTGAGCCTACTGGTGCCCACCAGCACCCCCAGATCCCTTTCTGCAGGGCTGCTCTTCAGCCTCTCTTCTCCTTGCTTATACTTGTGCCAGAATTACTCTGCTCCAGCTGCAGACTCTGACATTTTGACTTGTGAAACTTCATGCCATTAATCATAGCCAAATACTTCAATTTATCTAGGTCCTTGTGGAAGGCCTCCTGTCTCCCATGAGGGTCAACAGCACCTCTCAGTTTGGCATCTGGTAACGAAGCGGTCAAGTCCTGCATTCAGATCACTGATAAATTAATTGAACAGACCTGGCCCTAGAATTCAGTCCTGAGGAACTCCACTTGTGATCAGTAATCAGCCAGATGTAGCCCCATTCACTACAATCCTTTGAGTCCTGTTCTTCAGCCAGTTCTTTACCCAGAGAACTGTGAAGCTGCTCATCCCACAGCTGGACGTGTCCAGAATATGTTGTGAGGGACAGTAGTAAAATGCTTAATTAATCCAGAACTATATCCACCAGCTTCCCTTTGTCAGCTAGACAGGTGGCCTTATCACAGAAGTATGTCTTTCAATAGCACAAGTTATAATAATAATTTTTCCAAGAACTGATGTTAGACTAACAAGTCTGTACTTCCCTGTGTCTTCTCTCATACCCTTTTTGTAGTTTTTAATAACATTGGCTATTCTCCAGTCAACAAAGACCTTCTCAGACTCCCAACACTTTTTTAAATAACCAGGAGGGATCCTGTCATAACACAGAATCATAGAATCACAGAATAGTTAAGGTTGGAAGGGACCCTAGAGATCACCAGGACCCAACCTTCCTGCTACAAGCAGGGACACCTCACACTAGGCCAGGCTGCACAAAGCCTCATTAAGCCTGGCTTTAACCACCTGCAGTAGCTCCTTCAGTACTCAGTTATGAATCCCATCAGGCCCCATGGATTTGTGAACAATCAGATGATACAGATGGCCCCTTACAATTTCACTGTCCACAAATGGGAAGTCACTATTCCAACACCTGTGGTCCTTGGACTCATGGGACCAGGCAGAACAATGTCTATCAATATTATTAAGGACTGAGGAAAAAAAAAAGTATTGAATGTCTCTGCTTTTTCTTCATCCCAATTAGTCAGATGACTATCTCCAACAAGTACCTGCCCTATGTGACTCCTCCACCCTACGTGCCCTTCCTATCCCTCCTCAACAGCCTGCAGCCCACCAAAATCCACCACTCCAACTGTGGTACTCAGTCCACCAAGTCTCACTAATACCAGTGATATCACAGGTTTGGGAACTGACCAGCTCTTCCAGTTCATCTTTGTGTCTCATTCTGTATGGGTTGGTGTACAAGTATTTCAGATACGAACCTGAGCCCTCCCTGTGCTCCCAAGAGCAGTGTACATATTCCCACTGGCATTGTCAGCTTCAGGCAACGCCATGCCAGCCAATCCTTGGCTCACCTACTGCAATCCTGTTAATACCACCTTCTCCCATCAATTGTAGTTTAAAGCTCTCTCAATCAGTCTCAACAGCTTATGGCCAGAGACACATTGTCCCAAATTTACCTTTGGTTGCTCCGACGAACGTAGTTATCACCATCAACAGGTTTGCGGTATGTTGTAAGTGCTTCATTAAGTTGTTCTTCAATCAATTCAACATACTTTAAGTTATATTCCTAAAAATAGGAAAAAGGTTAACACAATACATTTATTTATTTATGTTTTTATAGTGGTTTATGTTTTTATAGTTTGGTATTTCATAAAGATGGATTAAATGAAGTGCTCCTTAAGGCTGAATTTCTTTAGGATATGAAGGTGGGGCTTACAAAAATTACTTCAAAATCACACCAGTAAATTTATTTAAATATTAAGAAGGAAATATTTAACACTTGACTTGAACCTGAACAACCTCAACATACCACTGCATATTTAAGTATTCCTAGAGAACTGACAGTTTAAAAGTCAGTTAAAAAAACTGCCAATATGAATGAGGTGAAGCACTTACAATAAATAACGAAAACAAAATAACATATGAAGACTTTTATTCTAGTGATGACAATGCTGCATTTTTATTAATGGTCTTGTGTTCCTATTTACTTCCTAGCAGCATAAGCTAATTCTATCTTCACGAGCTCTAGATTTAACTTTAATTAGCAAAAACCAGAGGTAACAGGCATCTTGAAAAGTAGTACTCCTTTATTCACTTCTCTAAGCTAAGATCTTACACAACAACTTCAGAAAGTGATTCCTGAAATATTTGCTGAAATATCAAAATTATATAAAAGGCCTAGGTAAATCAAACACATGCATTTGGAGGAGCTATGGCACTGTCAAACCTTTTCAGCAATTCCTAAGTCACTGAGGCAGTATTTTTACTGGCATTAGCAAGACACATATATGAACAAGGAATATTTTTAAGAATCTTTCACCTTTGAAACCTGCATATTCACACCCTTCCTCCTCCTAATATCAAGTACATCTTTTATTCTTGGCATTACCTTTTGCCACTTTTCCATTTGTTTTGTTACATAACCTCTTTCATTTAGATATGAAAACCCCTTTGGGATGGACAGAAATCTGTAAAGTAACATCAGACAGTTAGTATTGCTCTTGAAACAAATAACTTCATTTGAAAAAAACCCCAATACTTCTTTCCAAAGTATAAAGGCAAACAGCATATTTACCTTAAGAGTAGAAGCAAACCCTTGTCTCCAAGATGAGAAAGAGCTGGTTTCATTTGGATAAGGGCATGAAGATTGGCCTAAAACAATTAAAAATGCATACAGAGTATCTGAGCACTCTGCAATTCTGAAAACTAAAATTACCACAATATGCCAGCATTGAAGCAGCAGGTTTTTCACAAAATAAAGTATCAAACAGCACTAAGCTCATACTAATACTATCCACTTTAGGTACCCTCTGTCATTACTTTACAAAAAGTGTAATGATCAAAATAGCTGAATTAGTCTGAATTCATACACAAAAGTAGGCATAAACAAGAAGTGTCCACTTTCTCTCTTTAGTACTGCAGTATTTTCTGCAACGGGTTTGGTCTGTGAACTACTATAAAGTCCATCAATGACAATCAAGAACAGAAAATATCAGTAGCTTTTGGAATACTTTTACTTTGCTGCTGGAGAAGGGGGTAGGGAACAGCTTACAGAATACCAAAAACAGGTGGAAAAGCAAAAGGATGCTCACCTTGTCTTCACATGCCTCATCCAGAATATCAAGTGCCTCAGAAGAAATAGTTTTATTTTTATCATGTAACTGGGTCACTAGTAACTCGATCCCCCAGTTGCTGAAGAACTCTACATTTGCTCTTAGCAATACTCGTAAGTGTTTTGTTGCATACAACCTGCAGCTCTGCAAAAGTAAGGAAAACACTTTTTTGAATGGAAGAAAAATAGCTAATGTCATTAATGATTTACCATACATTTCAATCACAGTATTTTACAGCAAGTAGCTGTGATGTACACCTTATGCATTAAAATTACAGTCTATTAGAGAGCTATTTCCATCTTATCAAATGGGAAATTCGAGTCTGAGAAGGAATCTGGTCACTGCAAGTCTCTTTGGAAAGCTTTTATCAATTAGTCATGCACCAGGATAGAACCACACAAAATCCTCAGAATTCACAGCAAAAATACCTTGTAAATGGCCAGTGCAATTGCATGTATTTCAGGTATGCAATACTTTGCAAACAAATTTTAACTAGCAAATACCAGAACCTCTGCGGGATTTATTTTAATAAATGTTAATAGATTTTTGTTTCCCAAATATCTGATCTTCAAAATTCCTCAGAAAATGTTTCAAATAGAAAAAAATGTTATTTTCTGTAATAAGACAATTTGCAACACCTAATTTACTACTACAGATTTCTCCAAAACATCAGAATGAGGTAGTAAGTACCTTGTCAGTTCCTGTACCGCTGCTCAAAACTTGCTGAATAAACAGCATAAACTGATAACTGATAACACCATTTTCTATTAGAAAATATGCACACAACATAGAATCAAACAGTCTTAATCTGTAAGAATAGCAGCATTCTGGAGTAAGCACAGATCAACTGTGGCAATGTACGCTTATTAGGAAAAGTCACAGAATCACAATCATCTGGTTGGAAAAGACCTTGAAGATGATCAAGTTCAAGCATAATCTAAATCTACCAACCATAACTTAATCTACCCTTTCAGTGCTTCAATCATGTCTGATTGACTTCATCACCTCCCTGGGCAGCTTGTTCCACTGCCCAACCACTCTTTGGGTAAATAAATTCTTTCTAATATCCAGTCTAAACCTCCCTGGTGCAGTTTCAGGCCATTTCCTCTTGACCTGACATTAGTTACTTGAGAGAAAAGGCCAACTCCCACTTCCCTACAACCTCCTTTTAGGTAGTTCTATAGAGTAATTAGTCTTTCCTCAGCCTCCTCTACTTCAAACTAAACAATCTCAGTTCCCTCAGCCTCTCCTCATAGGACTTATTTTCCAGACCTTTCACCAGCTTGGAAAACATCAGCTATGCTTAGAAAAACATAGCTGGAAAAGCCAAAATCAGGTGCCCAAATCCTTCTTCAAGTCTTCAGTCCCTACACTTTTATTGCTATGATAGCTATAACCAAGTAAATTTCCTACACATTAAAATATGAATTACTTATGTTGGGATGTACATGACTATCTGTACTCCAAGATAGGTGACTCAATCTCAATTGGACAGCACTATCTAGGTTAAAAGTATCTTCTAGATTGTTCTCTTTCCACCAGAAATTTGAAAAGAAAATCAGAGTAGGAAACATGAATGTGCACAGTACATTTGAAAAACCTTTTCCCATTATTTCTACTTCAAATATCATGAACATTTCTACTTATTCAATATACAGAAGCTTTTTTTTTTTTTTGGGGGGTGGGGAGGCCGGAATGACATAACACACATGCCAAGGAAGACTGTGGAACAGTAATTCACAACCTAACCTAGCCTGCACAACCATTTTGAAATGGCTTGCAGCCCATGAGTGGTATGCCTTGTATGTGGAATAGACAACTAGAAGCATATTTATCAAAGATGAGAACAAAAGCTATTATGCCAAAATGATCACTTGATCTAGATGTTATGCTTACAGAATAACACAATAATATGAAACTAGATTTCAGTGTCATGTAGTTCAAGTCTGTCTGGAAAAGAGTCTTTACAACAAGGAATGACACAGCAGACCAAGATGTTCAAACCTCAGATCTGAGACTGCAAAACATTACATGCACTTCCAACAGTTCTGAAGTCTTCAACCTTGGCCAGAAACTTTGTGCAGCCAGACCACCTGCATTCATTTCCCAGAACAGAGGGGCAAAGCCCAGCATTGTTTTTTCCAGATGAAGCAAAATCCTGGAATGTTTTCACATTCCATGACAACTGAGGAAAAAGACATTCTTCTCTCTCCCTTATGCATGATCTATACAAAAAATATAGATAAAAGCCAGTACTAGATCTGCCAGAAGATTCTTACTTTTACTATTAAAGCACTTTGAGACTCTTAGAAGTGAATGAGCTAGGCAGAGGTCACTATGCTCAGCTTATTATATACAGCTCAACACAGATGTCAGTAGACATAGGGTTAAGTCTACCCCTTAGCCATACATGAATGTAGCAGCACTTGAGGACACTGGTTACTCTGATGTTTCTACCATGAACTGGCAGAAAGGCAGCAGAGGTAGTAATTTGGTTTAGCATGAATGACCAAAGCACATCTGGAACTAGGTTAAGCTGTGCTTCTGCTTCACTAAGATGCAAAGATATTGTTCTGACAATGTTCTTGTTGTATATAGTTACCCTCAAAATGCTACTCTCTCCTCTTAATGCTAAGCTTTTTCCTGCTTCAGAAATTTTTACTAGCAAATGGCTAACAAATCTGCTTCTCAACTCTGGGAATCTTTAAAAGATGTATGAGGCTGTAACTTCAGTTAACCCAAGAAAAATAACATTTTCAGCATTTGAAATAAACAGGTAGGATATTTCAATAACAAATGTCTCGGGGAATTAACACTTCTGAAGAGAAGAAGCCTTACTGGAGACTGTCTTTCTCCCTCACAAACAGAGCTTTTCAGAAACTGTGTCCAGTTCCATTCATTTTAATACTTTAAAACCCAATTTAGAAGCTATAGGCAGCATACAGAATCAAAATCATAGTTTGTCTTCTGGATTATGAATTAATACAAACCCATTTAGAGGCTTAGAACACAGGCTCCCCTCATCCTATAAGGTCTTCATCAAAGTCCTTAAAAAGGGAATGTGGAAGGGCTTTTAAGTGTGTTATTTGAACTGAACTTAATTTTAATTTATCATCTCAGGATTCACTTGTCCAAGATGACACAATGTCAGTTCTGGTAGTATTAAAAAATACAGTCTCCTTATGGGACACAGAAGTGCTACAACATGTGCCAAGTTTCATTTTCTTCCTGTCATGCTTGCTAAATACAAAGGAGTAAATTTTCTTTTGCTGTTGACAATGCTGCTGTTTCAGAATTCTGGACCATAAACCCCAGAAAATGGCAGGTACTTTCCTCTAACACCTAAACAGAGGTAATTCCAGTCAACAAAACTGTCGTTGTAAATGATCTTGTCCGTTCAGTATTCTTTCAGGTATGTTACCCTCTTGAAATTGAAAAATACTTCCACCTCACATGACTGTTTTCATTTCTGGAAGTGATGTAGTTTCACCAATTGCAGTTATTCAAAATACTATTTATATCACTATGGATACAGTTAATACCAGAATAATAAAAATATTTGATCCCTTTAATTAGTTTTTTACACTTTGATCTTCTATTTAGAGCATAAACATTAGAAGTACTGAAGACAAATACTTTTTCCAAGAGATGATGTTGGTGATATTGTGTACAGCAAGCACTGCCAAAGCATTCTTTGACAGGTCAACATAAGTGTTTTCTCTTCAAAAACTCCTTTCTGCCGGCTGAGACAGTCCATTCTTTTTTGTAATTTTCCTCTTTTAGAAGAAATACTTTCCTAGGAAATGTAGGAATTTCAAGGTCAACTAATTCAGGAAACAGAACATCCTGACATAGTTTTATCCATCTCTCAGGGTTCAATGTGTTTCACAAAAGAAGTCATGCTCTATTAATGAGGTTCAAACAGTACATCTTCTTTCTGTTTTAGTATCTAGATAGTACAAGATTCATTTACCATTTGTGGTGAACAGACAAGGTTTAATTTTTTATATTTCTTAAATGTGCTGGTATAAATTATTTATTAAAAAAGCCCAACAAAACTAAAGCATTAAAGGGGTTATCGTGGCATTGCAGTGTACAAAAACGAGTGTACTCCAACACTGAACTTATAATTTAAGTCACAACACATCTCAGCTATGAACTTGGCTGTAGATCACTATGGTGAGAGACCTACTATACCTGCATGCACACCCAACTCTGATATTAAGGATAACTGACCCATTTTGTGCCCACATGAATAAGGTTACACTTTCACTTACAGAGTAAGTCATTTCTTGGCAGTTAAGAAGATATATTCCAATACTTTATATTCTTTTATGTTTCAGGAGACTGTCAAAACCAGACAGTAACTTAATTTCTGCTGCTTCCCTAGACAATACTGCTAGATTCAGGCATCAGTGTGAGACTGGGAAACTGAAGCATTAGAATTCAGTAGCCATAGGCTACTAACATAGGCTGAAACCTTAAAAAAGGTATAAGTGTATCTGGCAAGAAAGATCTAACTTTAATTATTTAGGTTTTGGCTTCAAAATTGGAGTTCTTAAGTTTCTGAGCCTATAGAACGTCTCTTGGCTTTCTCCAAAGGGTTCAACTTTGTCATCTGTCACGGTCTAGCAACAGCTAGATAGAGCAACCAGGTCATCATCTCTACTCCTTTTCACAATGTCAAACTGACTAGAAGTGAAACAGGCAAACCTGGGGGTTCTACAAGCTTTCTTAATTTCTAAGGTGCTGCAGAGTGATGCCTGGGCTATCCATGTTTGAAGTACAAGAAGTGTTTACTACCTATTGTTCATTAAACTGGATTACAAATAGGTATAAACTGTATCTTTACTTATCACTAAGAGCAGAAGTAGTTCTACCCGTTTTCTGGCTTTGCATATGCTTGGGATAGTATGTTCAGACAGTATCTGCACCCCACTTCAGAGCCAGTCTCCTGAGAGCTCGTGATTCCTGTACCAGAGTTGTACATTCTGCTTGGGTTTGGTGGGTTTTTTTACCCCTGCTAAGATTAAAAAAAGCAGGAAAGTAGGTCTTCACAAAACATTTGGAAGATCAACCCATCCCTACATACACAAAGCTTCTAGTGTAACTGGATGCCTGAAAACATTTCGAAGTATCTTTCTTAAAACAGAATTCAAGTCTTCATACCTTTGATATCTGAATCAAGAATCCTTCCCAAAATCTAAACTACAAATACTAATTCATAATAAAATGCCTCAAATTATTAGTGTGACTGTATACTTCGTTGAGGAGATTGTGTTGCATGCTTGGACTTTTTTATAGTTGTTAACTAGCTGCATTTGGATAAAAATGAAACACTGGAGTGCTCTTCCCCCATGTATGGCCCTTTTAATGAGGTAAAAATAGTTGGGAGATGGTTGAGAGAGCAGTACCACAGACACAAATTCTTAATAGAAACAGTTAAATGAAGCACCACTGCCTAAATTGCTTTTAACTATCAGTCTTATAGCAGGGGCTTAGAAGCCTAATAAAGACATGGACATGGGTGCTCACAGCTTAGAATCACAGAATGGTTTGGGCTGGAAGGGACCTTAAACATCATTTAGTTCCAACCCCTATGCATGAGCTGGTTCACCTTTCACTAGACCAGGTTGTTCAAAGCCCCTGTCCAACCTAGCCCTGAACACTTCTAGGGCAGGGCATCAACAGCTTCTCTGGGCAACCCATGCCAGTACCTCCTTTCCTCACAGGAAAAATCTCCTCCTAATATCTCATCTAAATCTATGCTCTTTCAGATTAAAACTGTTTCTCCTTGCTCTAAAGTCTCCCTGGAGCCTTCTCTTCTCCAGACTGAACAACCCCAACTCTCTCAGCCTGTCTTCATTGCAGAGGTGCTCCAGTCCTCTGATCCCCTTCTTGACCCTCTGGATTCGCTCCAACAGCTCCATGTGCTTCTTGTGCTGAGGACTCCAGAACTGGACACAGTACTCCAGATGGAGTCTCACAAGAGTTGAGTAGAGCAGGAGTATCACCTCCCTCAACCCTCTCCGGTCATGTTTCTTTTGATGCAGCCCAGAATAGGGTTTGATTTATGAGCCAACATTAATTTCCATTTTCTTGCTAAGATTAGGCACCAAACAACTTTAGAGAAAGGATATCAGAGTCATCACTTCATTGAAAGATTACTTTAAAATCATTCAGTAGGCAGCTTCACCTGCTTCTTTCAATAAGTCATTCCTTCAGCCCCAAGTATCTCCATTACTTCGCTCTTTACCTGTAAGAATCACTGCCACTTTGACAGTCTCAGAGAAATATCCTCAAATTCTTTCTTTCCCTCTCCTCTTCCAAAATACAAAATATTTCCAGCTATCATCTACCTTATTCTCTCTTGTATTGACTCTAAAATATACTCTGCCTTGTCCAGATGGCAGAGGAATACTTCTCTCTGAAGTAATTAAGGTTCTGCCATAGTTAGATTTCAGCCTGTTGTCATTTCCTAACATCAGTGCTTGCTTGTCTACTAAGTTACACCTTTTCTCAAAAGTTCAAGATCTTCTTTGCCAAAGTCTATGTAAGTCTGTGTTTTACTTCCACTCATTCTTGGATTCAGAAGTTCAAATCCTAATGCCTATTTCTAAACTACAACCTTGTTCCAGCAGCTATAACTTCTACTCAATTTCAACAGTAACCTCAAAACAGTAATACACCACTGGAAGATTACATGCTTATTACTGCTAGAAGTACACATCTGTGTTCAAACGCCTTAATGATTTAGGATGTCCACTGACCTAGACAGGATTAACTTAAAAATAAAACCATACACCTTGAACAACAAAATAAATGTATAGTGGCAAATAGAAATGGAACATAAATTGAACAGAACTTACATCAGCAGCTGCTGTCAGGATTTTAGAAAGGATGACTCTTGCTAACCCATCTCTGCTGTAATCCAAACTAGAAACAGTCAACTTTAACAAGTGATCCTGGTTCTTCAAAGAACAAAGATTAAGAAGACTGGGGGTGGAGGAGGAGGGAGAAGAAAAAAAATTAGTATTTGAATGCACTCAAACCCATTTATTTATTCAAACAATAGTTTCAGCTTAAGTAATTTGAATTAGACTTCCATTTCTATAAAGCAGAATATAAAGAAAGTTCTCATATCAAGTAGACTAACTTTAAACTGTATAGCTATTAAGAGTCAAATGGGGACCAAATAATCCACTAAACTCTGAGGAAAAAAAAACCTATACCATGATTTTTTATAATGGCTCCTTAATAATTTTGTCTGCACCCTATAATTACTGGTTATGAGTAGAAAAATCAATTTTCATAAAGCTCTGTAAATAATTCCTCATTGTAAAACATTCTGTGTTTAAGCTTGCCATACGGTCAGTCATTTTAACTGTGTAGATTTTATTGTGAACAGTTTTCTGAAGACAGCAAAAAACTTGCATTCAAAGAATCAATTAAAACAATAAAAAGAGTATATCAAAACAACTGAATTGTTACTTAAAGTTTACTATATTTAAAATAAACAGGTATTAGCCACTAGCCAATTTACTCCCAAAGGAAGGTAAGTTTATTCTACCCTCACAAAATTTTCAACTTCATGAGTACATTCAAATGTATTGCACTGAAGTTTAGGTACAACATGTATCATCACAGTTCACAAACAACATGATACCTAACAGTTTTCCAGTTTTTGATGGCTTATGTGTTTTTTGGTTTGGATGGGGCTTTTCTCCCTGCTTCCCCAGATTTTTGTGTGGTTTGATTTGGTTTTGTTGTTGTCATTGTTGTTCTTCTGTCACACCTCCCCAAGTCCCTCCCCCGAGCCCTGTCTATTCAGTTATGATTCCAATATGGAATTTTAAAACTTATCATCCTTCCTAACATGAAATTTTATGACACCATCACCTTTATCTGTTCAATAATGAGAAACGAAAGAACTCGGAACTTGAAAGTTTAAGCTTCACAGACCATGGTTCTCACTCAGTTTAAAATTTTCATAACTATTACAACCATAAGCACAATTCAAACAGAACAAACACACTCACCACTGAAACACATTACATTTTTCAAGCATTTTCACTCCATGAGGGTGACAAGAGAGAGTACCAAAAAACAGAAAGTAGTGCTGGCTAAGTGTATTTAGTAATCCATTATTTTGAAGACTACGTTCAGGTTTCATTCCTGATGAAGCGTTGAGCCAATGTACAATATCTTTAACCAATTCCTCCAGGTAACCTTGTCCATCCTAACAAAACAAAGAGTAATAGCATTGACTAGTAAGAGAACTGAATCTCTCTTCTTTACTGAAATCTGTCATTAAAAATTTCTTTAAACGTACAAAGCCAATAAACCACAAAAATAACCACACAATAAAGCCACAAAACAGAAATGCTGGTTGACAAACACTTCAGATGAAAGAAAAAAAAACATGGTGAATAAAAGTTCAGCTTGGAGACCAATCAGGACCAATTCTAATATTTCCAGGAAAGCAACTGATCTATGATACTTTCCTCTAGCCTGAAGCATAAAAGTCTTAGCACACAAAAAGAAAGGAGATAGAGAAAGAATATACATAGAAAATTTAAAAAAAAACAAACCCAAAACTTAAGTTGCATTTAATAAAGATGTATTTACTTGTCCTCCTCCATGCTTCATCTGGACAATTCAACATTTTAAGTTACATTTCTTTATTACACTGATCATTTTAGATTTAACACTCAAGATTCTACAGAATACCTTACAAAAATTAAGGTATTTTTGTGTAAGTGGCATACAGCAGCACTACTCATTTTACGTCTAGTCTTGTAGCAGAAAATTTCTCACCTCTTCTGATTCAAGAAGAAATTCAGTAAACTGACAACCCACTACAGTGAGCTGCTTTGCCTTGGCATAGTCGAGATCCAGGTTAGCATACAGTTTACTGCTAGGCTTGTAAAAATATAGCAATCTCCTTACAAACCTATGGAAAGTAAAAAAAGAATTTGCTATTTTTCAGTATGACAAGGACAGTCTCAATGTATAAAATTACGCTAGTAAAAAAAATGTTATCACTAAATTAGCTTACTGGCAACACATTTTCAAAAGTTATTAGAAGAGTAGCAGGTAGCAGTAATGAGTCTATCCAGACACAATTTCAGAGATGCAGCTGTACTTTTGTTCTATAAATGGCTTTCCATGCCATGACCTAAAGCAAGCAAAGGTACTCTACGCTTTTACAAGCCACAGCTTCCTTCTCATTGTCATAATATATTCTGCTGTAATTTATCCAGTGGTGAGTTTCAAAGACTATACTATCTAGACTTACAAAGAGCTAAACAAGAACCTGTGACATGAGTTTTTGGCAGCTACAGTAGTTCATACTACTGTGAAAAACACTTTTTTGTGTTCTACAAGGAAAAGGCTGTATTTATTCAGTAACAGTATTTTCATTCACCTCATTTAAGCATTTTTGAAGCATAACACAGTGATTGCAAATAGCAAGCAATACAGCTTGAGTTTTGCATTGCAGGAATAAGTTTTCAGGAAAGAGCTTCCCACGGCTAATTCTTAGTAAAAAAATATACACACATTTGTGCTTTAAAGGAACAAAACGTTCCGTCTGAAGGTAAATAAGAAGGTAAATAAGCATTAAGAAACCTTAAGTAAAGCACTGCAGCTTTAGTTAAAAAAGTGAGAGTAAGCCATTATCCTCAACTCCAAACACAGGACCTATTATAAAGGAAATTTAAATTTTGTCAAACGAAATTTATTTTTTTCTGGATTATTAGCAATAAATATACATGAGCACACTTCAGTGTCTGTGTATGCATGTGTATACGTGTATACGTGAAGGCACACACTGAATTAACTGTATCTATGAAATTAAGTAATCTATGTAAAAAATATCTGGAATTCCACTTTACAACTGTAAGATCATCACAAGAACAGTAACATTACAAAAAAAAAAATTCACCTACTTATGGAAGGACAAATACATGTACTGTACACTTCAAAACGGATGTGGCTGAAAATTTATGATCAGCAGTCAAACTAGGGAGATTTAGGGTTATAATTAAACAAGAGCAACAGCATTTTAAAGACATTAAACCATCTAAACCACAATCCCGAGGGAAGAATCAAGAAACTGCAGAAGTTTTACACCAGCTTAATCCTAGATTTTCTTATTATTTGGAGTTTAAGTTTCTTAGGCACTGAACAATGCTTGAGTGTAGCACAAAACCGAGGCACTGGAACACTGTCCCAGGTAGGGAAATAGAAGGGTGGGTGTGGGTGTCACAGCCAGGTAGAGATTAACAGTTCATGTTTGGCAGAGAAAAATAAACAAAAAAAACAGAAAAAAATACAAATGCAAACTTAAATTATGGCTATGATTACAATGGGGATACGACTTATGCTGGGATTGCTATATAAAAGTAGGTTGATTACTTAGCAAAAATTTAAAATGGAGCAGCGTGAGCCTTTCAGGATATATGTTAGGTTTAGGTTTTTTTCCTCAAATTCACATAGAAGTGGCTTTCTATGCCTACAAATACAGAACTATGCTTCAAAATAGTTTAATCAAATCAATTTCTAAAACACGTTAATAGGGACATCCAGAACTAATTACTGTTACCACATAGACAAAACCAATAAGAATGTCCTAATGCCAGGAGACATTAAAGGAACCAGAACTGTACTGGCTTTTGTTTTTTTCCTGTATCACACATGCTCCCCTTGCTACTATTAAACTGTACAACTGCAGACCTAGTCTGTCAAAATTTGTCAAGTGAAGACATCAAACCCTAAAGTATGAAATATCTAACAGGTAATACTTCCAAGATTTAAAATTATATAGGGTGTTTTCAAAGCTGGTATGATTCTTGTTAAGGCAATAAACATATGAAGTATCTGTGTATAGAAAAGAAACCACTGAAGCTTAAAGACTTGTTTACTTTAAAGCAAATATTTGAACCTATTTATCTAAATTTACAATTTTTTTCTGCTCATCTACAGATTAGTTTTAGCAACGTGACATATCCAAGGAATAGTTTATTGCAATATTAAAAAACAGTTTTCCCAAATTACTTTCTTTAAAGAAATTCTACATAACTTTTACATACCTGTGCAATTGTTCATCTTTATAGTTCCTTAGATTTACATTTGGCCACTAGAAAAACAGCAAATATAGCATTACATGAAACTTGTACATCAATCCTTAATTAGTTACTAAAATTTACTTATTTCTATTATAGTTGTATTTACCTAATCATTACAAGTGTAAGTTTTCTTGCATCTTATATTATCTATAAAAAAGCCTTATTTTATTGAAAAGCCCACACTTCTTGCTCCAAGAACTGTTCAATTTTGTTCTACACAAGGACAGGGAATGTCAGGCACATGCTATGTGTACAAATCCACAATTGTAATGAAAACAGCAAACATGCTAATGAAAAATAGACAATTTTGCTTAATTCCTTTTCCGCGAACAACAAAACAATATGTTGCTATGCACAACAGGGAAGTAATTTGTTGTTGTTGTTTTAACTATTATTCAGATTTGTTTTTAAAATAATCATTATTTTGTTATATCTCGCTTAAATACTGGTTATTAAAATGGTATTTAAATGCCTCTGTTGATACTTTGTAAAATGTTTAAAAAAGGATCACATGAAGTTGTAATAGCCTCCTCTGCTCACATCCTTTCTTCCTATTAAGTTTTCCTCTGGTTTTACAGCCATCTGTTGTCTCTGTGGTCTTAGATTTATTTTGGCTGCTACTACTATCTTCTTAAAAAGGATAAGAAGAAGTGCATCAAACATTTTTCTTTACCTAAGTGACACACTTCAACATTCCAAACTGGTATACTAGTGTTAAACCATACAGTGCACTAGTTAGTGATCATAAAACGGACTACACTAGTAACATTGAACCCACAGCACCACAAAGTATGAAGCTCTACTGTCAATGACAAGCACACAATTCCTCCATCCTAAACACTGGCACTTCTGCTGGTCTTTTAGAAGCAAGCTGAGCAACTTAGAAAGGCAGTAAGGGACCACATGAAATGCAAGTAGCTAGGTTGTTAAAAAGCTGATGCTCCACAGCTGAAAGGCTTTGACAGAGATACGAGGGAGTTGAGTAGCCAAAGGAGACAGGGAAGTCCAATCCTACTCGTTCCAGGACTGAAGAAAGACCACTCTGATAATATTAAGATAGTTTATGCTGCTACTGTGCAGCTTAACAGGAAAGGAAATGGTTAGACTTTTAACAGAAAACATGTATTACTTATTCTGAAAGACAGAAGTCCTTGATTTTGAGACATTAGCCACTGTTTGGAAAACATACTGATGGGGAGGTCTGAAGCAATGAGGAAACTGACAGTTTGACATAAATTTCAGGTAGAAAACCAGAACACCCTAGTGGTCAACTACACAAAGCTTCATTGTCAAAGTATGACACAAACTAATTAACAGAGAGATTCTGAAAAACAATTTCTCAATAATATATAATAATATAATAATATCTTTATACCAAAACAACAGTAAAATTATCTATGATTAATAATCTTACACATCCAGTAATCTAGTACATCTACTAATTGCAGTAAAAGGCCTGTAAACAGTGATATTTGGTGGAGCAAAGCTACTTTCATATACATATTCAGGTCTTTATACCAGACAGAGTCTTGCTCTCTCAAGTTTACCAGTCCCTGAAAAAAGGCACAAAAATATTTAGTTTCTTTAAAAGAAATAAATAAAAGTGGTTTTTATTATGATTATTACCATTAATCCCTTTTTGTACTTTCATGATCTTCATAATAACACAGTAGTAAGACAGTAAGAAAACCTTCATTAGGGGTAACAACAGAAGGATGGCTTTGATGCACAGAATGACAGGAACTGTTTTCTTTTGTGGCCTATACTGAGAACTCAGGAAGTTTCCTTAACCAAAAAAAGTATTGTCTCTCCCTGTCAGAGATATTTATTTTTCAAAAACAAATTATTTTGTAATTAACTTGATGCTATGGGCAGGTTTTTATTAGTTCAAAACATACACCAAGATTGCATACCACTAAAGTTTTAGCATGAGGCTCAATCTAAGCATCTGAGTTTTGATCTATGACCCAGCTGCAGCCTTAACCTTCACCTCACATTATATAAGAAAAAATTCGCTACGAAACTGAATGAGGTAGTATCACATAGTAGTTTGGACTAAAGTGTAAGTATTAGCAATTTAAAAGTCATTTATAGCAAATTCCAGAAAGTCTATTTCTATACAAACAGTTACATAAAGATTAATACATGCTTATTAAGAAATTTCTGAATTTAACGGGAGAGTATTTTTGCATCTTGTTCAAGGGTTGTATACACAGAGAGTATATCAGCGCTGATTACACCCATGAGATTCTCATTTTCTGAAATAAAACAGACTATGGACTGCAGCATGGAATTTATATTACGAAGTCAAAGCTTACGTGTGAAATGGAACAGTTTCTGAACAGTTTCACAAAAATAGTATCATGCCCTTTTTAAGCTCACCTTCAGTATGGTCCCTATTAAATTCCAATTCCAGTCGAGGTTCTCTTTGTGATTAAGAACCTGGCTGTCTCGAAGATTCATTACAAGTGCTTCTTCTGTATCCTGTAACAGACAAAAAACTAGAATAAGATTCTCTGCATAATTTTTTTCAATCTTGTCACATAATGTACCAACTGTTTGCGCATACATCATATAGGCTATGCTCCAAAGTAATTTGATTTGAAAGTAAACTGCATGGTTTCAGTACTGCTTCAATAATCTTATGGTAAGATATTACAGTTTACCCTAAAAAAGCATTAAAAATTATCGTAATTTCACTCCTCAGTTTCTAGAAATGCACAAGTACCTAGAAAACAAATGAAATGCAAAAAATTACTATGAAGTAATTACATAAATGGCTTTGAATTAGAGAGAGTTGAGCTTATGGGGTGAGATTCCAGGTCTCCAAAACAGAAATTCAATTTTGAAAAATAATTCATGGGAATACCTTCAAAATAAAGATGTCTTTCTGCACGCGGTACTGATCCCGTTTTTGGTGGGTTGAGATCGCTTTCTGAATAATATGATCTAAATGGAGGCTGTAAGGTTTAGGTCCCCTTTTCTTCATCTCATGAAAACGTTTTAAGCAGTTGAGTGCGGCACTTGCTCGTCTAATAGAAAAAAATACTATAATCAGTACTTGTCAACTGTTATCCAACCAAAGCCTGCTACTGCTATATCCTAAGTAAATAAACATAGCAAAAGAAAGAGTTGTCTGACAATTCTGAAGAAAAAATATTTCCATGATACAAGTTCTCTTACTTCCACAGGCCCCTGTTTTGTGTTGAAATTATAAAGAATCTTATCTTTCAGACTTTCTAGCAGTGAAAAATAAGCCTGTTACCTTTTATTCTACTCTGCCATTAGTGGTGTCTATCATAGTTCACAGAAGATACCGTAAAGCTGACAAAATATTGTGAGATGGCACCATAGACAGACATTCTGCCGTGAAGGTGAGAGTTGAGGGGGCCAGCTTCAGCTTTAACTAACAAAGTATTTTCTGTAAACCCTCTTTTTCTTCTTTACCCAGAGGGTGGAACGAGTTTCAGTACTATGCTTCCTGCTCTTTTTATGTAAACAGTTCAGGCAAGTGCATGTAAGAAGTTTTACAGGAAAAGGCAGGAAGTAATAGAAACTACGTTTGACGAGGGCTGAAATAGTTAATTAAAAATAATGGTAGCAGAAAAAACCCAGCCTGCTGAGTAAATATAATAAGAAAAACTAAAAATGAGAAGGAAAGTCTACCCTTCTTTTCCATAAACAAAAATTCTCATAGGGTAGGAGAGCATTTTTATTTTATATTATCTTCAAACAAATACCTGTTGATTTGGTCACGTATAAATTGTGTATATTTAACCCTAATGGGGTTTACAGTTATTCAGAGTACGAAACAATACAGTGTTGACCAGAACCAACATCCCAAAATTAAGAATGCTACTCCTAAAAAATAACTTTCTTCCAACAGAAATGGGACTTCTCATGATTCTATCAGTTACATACACACATGCGAACACTGAAAGAAATCCACAAACGTATCTCTTCTACACTTCATCTTTCCTCCCACAGCTATGACATAGTGAAATACCCTGTGACGGAGTTTCAGATACGCCTTTTTTGAAGAAAAACTGTGTTGTCATGCATCAAAATCTTCTACTGACATAGAAGAAATCTTCAAAACTAAAAAGCAGAAGAGCACTGTGTTTCTTGGAAGCATTGTACAAGCAGCATTTATCTTTTCAGAGTAGCAGCTCAGAAAGATTCAGTAATATATCACTGACAATTACATGCAAGACAAAAGATGAAGTTAAAATGTATTTATCAAAATAATGATTGGACTAGGCAGATCAGGAATGGCAAAAGTAATTAATGAAAACATTTCCTATCATTTACTATTAGAAAAAAAAACAACAACACAATCAATTTTAATGCTCTTCTACAGAGATATGGAAGTAAGAACACTGAGATACAGGAACGTTTTAAAGACACATAGATATATCAAATTATTCATATTCTTTCCTCTGGAGGTTTAAATTGCATGAAGTGCTCAGGAGATGGTATAACAGAGAACTGCAGAGGTTGAATTACAAGATTAGTACATGTACATACAAATTCTAAAAATATAGGTAAAATAAAAGAGCTCATTGTTTTTGTAAATCTCAACGTTCAACTACTTCTACTTTAAAGAGAAATATAAAGCTTCTATAAACATCTTTTTTCAGTCAGACACCTAAATATATCTAAGTTGATTGGTACAAGTTTCAAACAGATCACTAGTACTGTTTAACTACATGTCATTGAGAATGCTGCACATAATCCAAAATTTCTGTTCGAACATCTTTATACTTACATGGAAATTAAGGGAATGGAAAAAATACTAGTGCAAACTTTGACCAAAAGCCTCAGAACATTTTAACATTATTACAATTGCTATCATAACCATTTTCTTTGGAAGAAAAAGTTATTTTTAAAAAAATATCTAAACCAAACTTGATGACAGTATTACATTTTCTGTTCCTGCTCACACTAATGATGACTCACTATTTAGCTATAAACAAAAACAGAAGAAAAAACAATGGTGCAGGCTTTTTTAGTTATGAAAGCTTAATTTTATCAAAATGCCAAATAGTAAGTGCGAAATAACAGAAAGATTAAACAGAACATTTCTCAGACACTGCTTGGTCAAACACTGCCTTACAGTTATTTTATAAAATATTCTGTGTAAAAATCTTGCAATATATGCAAAAAGGGTCTGAAACCTACTGTCAAGACTTTCTTTCCAAATTTCTCAATTGTTACTGTAAACACCTCTGGAACTGAAAACTACCACTGAAAACTACTGCCCTCTAAATGTGACAGACCATTTCTATATGCATATGTTTGCTTGCTTTTAAATAAAAAGAGCATTCATTTCAGGCACCAGAAGACTTTCAATGTCAGGTTTCACTCAATTGTAAGGACAAAAGGAGAAGTAAGTATTTTTGCTTTTAAGTATAATAAAGAATTCTTACAGTCTTTTCTCTTTCATGATGTCAAAAGATGCTGCCATATTCATTAGCGTTGGTAAGCAATGCAGGTGATGGCTGTGAGAATGAGGAAGAATTGTGTTTGCCTAAAAAACCACAACAGTAGAAGACCAGTTAGAATAACTAATTACAATATTTTTGTCCACCTCTTTAGGATCAACATTTGAAATATATACCACTTTTCACAAGTCCTTCACAAAGGCATGACAACAAAAATACCTTTTTCCTAAGATAAGAGCAATAATTACACATTCCATTTTGAATATTTGATCTAACTAATCAATCTGAAATAGAACTGAAAGTAACTTAAGACAATTACAAATTTCAGAGCCTTATTTGTATTGTTTTCATTAGGGGTTTTTAAAGTGGTAACGTGCAAAACCACACAGAATCAGATATCTTTATGTCATATGTATAAAAGTACTAAAAAATCTAAAATCAGAAATACAATTTCAGCTGATAATTTCTACGAGACTTTTTACTACCAATATTTCTGTTACCTGTCTCCCAAATCTAATGAACTAAAATAACTTCTCAAGTAATTAGACATTAAATTGCTTTTCTTTTCAAAACATAGCTAGTTCTGCAAATATTTTTGGAAACTAAGGAACAATATAGATTAAAAAAATACCTCAATCTCTTAGAACTACATAAAAGTGTCAAAAAACTTCACAAATATTTGTAAACATCCATCTCTTCAGAAAACTGAAAAATACCTAAACTTTGCAGCATACGCAAGTATCAGTAAAAACAACATACGTTGTTATATTCCTCTTTTTAAACATGGATGACTCAATATTCAACCATTTCTGCCAATTTTAAGAGAAATCTCTGAAGAAACAAAAGGACAGATTTGTTGCAGTTGTGACACATGCTGCTGAGCAGAGATGTTGTAAATCACCATAGTAATACACAAACCTGTATCTGAACATTGTAATCTTGTATTTTTGAGCACTAAGCAGCATCGAAATGAGATGATAGTCTGAAGATGCAGACTATGGCTGATCATTCATATTCCAATTTTTGTATGACGAAGTTGTATTTCACCATTTTACCATCTCTTATAACACAGTCTATTTGAACAAAAAAACCCCAACAAAACCACAAAAAACCCACAAAAAACCCCACAAGAAAACTGACCGAAAAGTGCTGTGCTGCATATGCTGTTCTTGTAATCAAGAGGATGTGAAAAATAAAGAGTTCAGATTACAAGTGTGAATGGAGTGAGTGTTGTGTGTCAAACTGCCAAGGTCAATTTACGGCTCCCAGGAAAGAAGCACAGGTCAACTACCTGCTTTGCAGTTAAAAATCATAATGAAAATATTTTAGGTTTCCATGTTGTAAACAAATCAACCTGGTGCCTGCAAAATGACATTGTATGGTCCCTTAGCTCAGACATCAATAAATCCCAGCCCTGGCAAAAATCGGCAGGCTACAGTGTGTGTACTTCGAATCACAGAATCATTACGGTTGGAAGGGACCTTAAAGATCATCAAGTTCCAAACACCCTGTCATAAGCAGGGAACCCTACCACTAGAGCAGGTTGCACAAAACCATCCAACCTGGCCTTAATCACCTCCAGGGAGGGGGCATTAATAACCTCCCCGGGCAACCCATTCCAGTTCCTCACCACCTTTATAGTGGAGAATTTCTTCCTAATATCTAACCTACATCTCCTCTCTCTGTTTAAAACCATTACCCCTTGCCCTATCATTATCTTCTCTGATGAAAAGCCCCTCCCCAGCTTTTCTATATGCTCCTTTGAAGTACTGAACGGCCACTATAAGGTCTCCCTGGAGTCTTCTCTTCTCCAGGCTCAACAGCCCCAACTCTCCTAAGCCTGTCTTCATAGCAGAGGTGCTCCAGCTCTCTGATCACCTTCATGGCCCTTCTTCAGATCCTTTCAAAGAACTCCATGCTTTTCCTGTGCTGAGAGCTCCAGAACCATACACAGTGCTCCAGGTGGGGTCTCAGCAAAGCAGAGTAAAGGGGCAGAATCACTCTCTTAGATCCATTCTCCATCCAACCTGTATTTGCACGTGGGATTTCCCCAACTGAAGTGCAGAGCCTTGCACTTGGCCTTGTTGAACTTCATGCAGTTTAGAATTTAGTTTGCATGAGCCCACCTCTCAAGCCTGTCAAGGTCCTTGGGATGGCATCCCTTCCCTCCAGAGTGTCTACTTCCACACAGCTTGGTGTCATCAGCAAACTTGTTGAGCGTGCACTCAGTGCCACTGTCCATGTCTCCAACAAAGATGTTGAACAGCAATGGTCCCAGTACTGACCCCTGGGGAACATTGACCACAGCATTCTGGGTGTGGCCATCCAGCCAATGTCTTATCCACCAAGTGGTCCATCTGTCCGGTCCATGTCTTGTCAGTTTGGAGACCAGGACGTCAAGTGGGACAGTGTCAAATGCCTTGCACAAATCCAGGCAGATGATGTCAGTTGCTCTGCCATCATCCACCATCTCTGTAGCCTCGTTGTAGAAGGCCACCAGATTGGTCAGGCATGACTTGCCCTTAGTGAAGCCATGTTGGCTGTCACCAATCACTTCCTTATCTTCCATGTGCTTTAGCAGAAATTTCAGTAGGATCTGCTCCATGATCTTGCCAGCCACAGAGGTGAGACTGACTGGCCTGTAGTTCCCTGGGTCTTCCATTTTCCCCTTTTTAAACAGAGGGGCTATGTTCTCTTTTTCCAATTAGCAGGAACCTCACCAGACTGCCATGATCTCTCAAATATGATGGACAGAGGCTCAGCAACCGCATCTGCCAGCTCCCTCGGGATTTGTGGGTGAACCCCATCAGGTCCCATACATTTATGCACCTTCAGTTTCTTTAGATGGTCACAAACCTGCTCTACTCATACAGTGGGGGGTAATTCATTATCTCACTCTCAGACCCTGCTTTCACCTGTTACAGCCTTTGTGTTAAGGCTGGAGCACTTGCCAGAGAAGACTGATGCACTTGGCCGTTTCCTTCAGGAGAGGGCCTACGCTCTCCTTGGATGTCCTTTTCTCCCCAGCATACCTAAAGAAGCTTTTCTTATTGTTCTTAACATCTCTGGCAAGATTTAATTCTTGCAGGGATTTGGCTCTCCTGACCCGATCCCTAGCTGCTCAGACCACCTCTCTGTAATCCTGCCAGGATAACTGCCCTAGCTTCCATCCCCCATATGCTTCCTTCTGAAGCTTGAGATTTTCTAGGAGCTGCTTACTCATTCATGCTGCCCTCTTGGAGTTTCTACTTGACTTCCTCTTATTTGGGATGAAACACTTGGGCCTGGAGAAGGTCATCCTTAAATATCAGCCAGCTTTCATGGGCCCCTCTACCCTCCAGGATGTTATCCGAAGACACTCTCTTGAGCAGATCCCTGAAGAGGCTGAAATCTGCCCACCTGAAGTCAAGAGTAGTAAGCTTGCTGTGAGCTGTGCTTGCTGTCCTAAGGACCTTGAACTCCACCATTTCATGGTCACTACAACCTAGGCTGCCCTTCAGCTTAACATCCCTCACCAGCTTTTACTTTTTGGTCGGGACAAGGTTCCTCGATTACTTGGAAAAGGAAGTTATCATTTTTGCACTCTAAGAACCTCCTGGATTGTTTGCATTTAGCAGAGTTGTTCTTCCAACAGACGTCAGGGTGGTTGAAGTCTCCCATGAGGATCATGGCTTGTGAATGTGAAGCTGCTCCCATCTGTCTGTACAGTGCCTCGTCTATATTATCCTCCTGCTCAGGCAACCTGCAACAAACCCCCACCGTGATGTCACCTTGGCCTTTCTTCTCCTTAATCTTAACCCATAAACTCTCTGTTGGCTCCTCATCCGTCCCCAGGGGGAGTTCCATGAGCTCCAACTGCTCTTTGACGTAGAGGGCAACACTCCTATCATGTCTTTCCTGTCTGTCCTTCCTAAACAGTTTATAACCCTCCATTCTGATGTTCCAGTCTTAGGAAACATCCCACTAGGTCTCAGTGATGCCAATGACATCATCACTTCATGCAGCTCTTCACTCCCTGATTCAAAAATCAGTAACATACTGCAAGCAATACCTGATTTCTGTTGTGGCACAAAATGGAATTTCTGAAGTCACAGCTGATTTGAAGAAACAACAACTTATCTCCAGAGGCCAATCCTGTATAACTCTCCTGGCCTGGCCAGTTCTGAAACCGGACAGGAGGTGGCGTGTCACGATTATCATGCCTGAATGCTAATACAGCCCCGCTAACAGCTGCTGTCACAAACTGCAAACTACATTGCAAAAGCTTGCCACCCACGGATAGCAGTGCTAGGTGTAAAAGATACATTCCTTATGGTCCCCTTGAGGGAGAAGGATAAAGGTAAGTTTGCTTTCACTTGGGAGGGATTACAGTTTACCTTTAACAGATACCTACAATGCTGCTGAACTTTTACAGTATCACTTCCCCAGGATGTGAAACTGTAGCAATATATATAGATTATATTCTTGTTGGAGGAACTTCCTCTGACAAGGTGAGGGAAGTAGCACCAGCAGTATGGCAAGCACTAAATAAAACAGAAATCGAGATTCTAACAGGAAAACGTCAGGGACCAAGTAAAGAAGGAAAAAAAAATTTAGTTACTTGGTGAGGAGTAGGCAGTGCAGTGATTTTTCCAGATAAGCTTAAGAAAAGCAGAACTGTAAATGCCCCAATCAAGGAAGGAGTTACAACAGTTAAGAGGAACTATAGGATATTGGAGAAGCATGTACCTGGATTTTCCATCATCTCCCAACATTAAACTTACTCTTACAGAAAGGCAACCCTGGGAGTGGAAATTAGAACATAAAAAGGTAGTGTTCTGGTTTAAGTCAGACCATGATAGGCAGTCAAAACTCCAAAGAATTAAAACCATAATAGTAACTGGGATCAGTACAACCCACAACTTTATTACTACTTATTATCAGCTGCTTCAAACTGATCGAAGGGCTGGTGCACCTCTCCTATGAAGACAAGCTTAGAGTTGGGGCTGTTCAGCCTGGAAAAGAGAAAACTCTGGGGAGACCTCATGGTGGACTTCCAGTACCCGAAGAGGCTACAGGAAAGCTGGGGAGGGACTTTGTAGTAAGAGGGCTTGTAGCAAGAGGACAAGGGCTAACAAATTAAAACTGGAAGAGGGGAGATTTAAATTAGACATTACAAAGAAATTCTTCACTATGAGGGTGGTAAGATACTAAAACAGGTTGTTCAGGGAAGCTGTGGCAGCCCCACCCCTGGAAGTGTTCAAGGGCACGTTGGATAGGACTTTGACCAACCTGGTCTAGCGGCAAGTGGCCCTGACCTTGCAGGAGGGTTGGAACTAGATGATCTTTAAGGTCCCTTCTAACCCAAACTATTCTATGGATCTATGATTCTAAAGGGGACTGCTCCCTTAGGAGTTGCACAAAACCCAGGTATCAGAAAATTGCATACCTACCTAACAGGAGATGCAGAAAATATGCAGTTACCTGAAGGACACACTAACATTTCCAAATTGCGTATGTCCATAAACACAGACCCTTCAGTGTTACAACAGCCTTTTAAACCATCACCTGTTCTGCATGTACTGCCCCTCTGTGCAAGTACACCAAGAGAAAATACATTTGCTTTTACAAATTCTTCAGCAAAGAGCATAAAGACTAAATAGCAATATAAGGCCACTGCAGAAGGTATTACCACTGGCAAACAAGTAACAAAAGAAGGTGAAGGCAGTGCACAAGCAGAAGAAATAAGGGCACTTGTTTTTGCAGCAAAGAATGGAGCAAAAATCATACAGACTCATATGCTGTGTGGGCTGGTGACACACAGTGGTTCTGTCAATGGGAAACCTTGAATTTGGAAGCAAACTAATCCCCACTTTAGAGAAACAAGGACTGGATTGTTGGTTCAATTTTACCGTAGTACTGTTTTTGTAGTCTGCCTCTGGGAGCACCATAGTGGGGACTATAATTCAAATTTAAAATAAACATTATTGTACAACAACATCTGTCCCAATTGTAATGGATAAGAAAACTCCATTCCTACAAATTTTGTAGCTGGAATGTATGCAATTAAAAATACAGGCCAAAAATGGAGTTATTTAATCCATCATGGTCTCTTAAAAGAACAGAACTATTGATGTAAATTAATATGTCAACAACTAAACCAACCTGTTGATCAAATTCCTAAGTACATACTATGCAGGATAATTAGCATGGTTACGTGAGTGAACCTTCACCTCTCCAAGGCAACCAAGGAGACAGGTCCGGGAGACTTAAACAGTAGAGATGCTGAAGTATTCATAAACAGACTGAGCACCACAAGTGATTTAAATTAGAACACTCACTGCCATCTTCTCTGTTAGCACTGGGAAGCAACCAAAGGCTTTTATCTGATACACTGCCTCAGTGCGAGAGAATTAATGAAAGAGCATCAGTTGACTGCAGATGCACTTTGTGCAGCAATTGTATTTCTCTAGCTCTTATGCAAGCTCAGCTGTGGATGAAATCTACGGTATGGCAGGAACTGTAAAAGAAGAGGGCAAGTGACCCACTGAAATTCAAAAGGTAATTTGGGATAACGTAACTAAAATTGTGCAAGAACTACAATCCTGGAGGTACTCTATTTTACTTATGACCCCATCAACAATACAGCCACTGCATTTGTCTTAACAATACATGATACTTCAGTTCATAAACCAAATCATTCTGTTAGGATTAAATCACACTGGAGCTATCTATACTCTGTCCATTTGAACACAGAGCATGGGTCCAACAAAACCAAAAACAAATGGGAAACTATTGATCTTAACACATGCATTCACTGCACGGTAACAACAAGGACTTATTTGTGAGGGTAACGCCTTCACAGCCTACAACATTTGTCTGGACATGGACCAAAATATCTGTCATTCTGAAATACATCCTGATGAAACCCCTGAAAGTGTACTCATATATCTTAGAAAAATGTGTCTGTATTTGAACCCTCTGCGGTTTTACATTCCCAGATAGCATTACTGCACATACATGCCATCATTCAAGTGTTTGTGACTTTACTAAAGTTATGCAATGTGACTAACTATTCAGTTCCTGTTAGGTCTTAACAATTGTTACATTCTAATTACACACTGAGTCAAGATTTATAGCCTACCTCCACCAGAATTAATATTACAGTGTTGAAGAAACTATGACAACACAAGTACCTTTGTCAGCTACTAGAACACATCTGAAATAATGGACAAAACCCTCCAACTGCTATTCATCATGATAGAGAAGTAATGGACCATGCCTTGGAAGAGTGAGGATGGGTAACACCACTGGTGAGAAACTTTTCTTGGAGGGTCAGCAAGAGGACTGTTTAATCATATACTTCACCCAGTTGTGATTTTGCTAACTCTTAACTTTAATACGTTTATGGCTTGTAATTAAGTTGCATATAAAGGGTTGGTACATGATAAAACAAATAACCCAACTTCAACTATCTCAAAACAAAAACTAACACAGAATGAATACTAGTACTTCACTATCTACTTACCATGGATCTAAAAGCACACAACTATCAATATACTGCTTATGGCATTGAGGCAAGAGGTGCCTGTACCATTGCTCTGTTAAGGCAAGACAAAGTGAGTATGGTCACGGGGTTGAGTACGTCAGCATGACCGCTCAACCTTGCTTAAGCCATATCCACCAGTAGAGGTTGTAATGCCCACATCCAGCTTACCCTGGACTTTGGGGGATAGATGGCAACACAGTAGCCAAGAGCTGTCTGGAAAAGGGATGGCAAATTTCTTGCTGGTACGCAAATATGTCTATACATCAATTATCTTACCATTTTAAAACAGCAGACAGCCCAGAGCACACTGAGCTCTCCTGAAAAAAAAAGTGGCTTCACACCAGGATCTCCCCTTGATTAGGGACATCTCTCAAGGTTCTCCTCAAAGTTGAAAGAATCCTTATTGTGTCAGATATTCAGTAAGTGAATTAGGAAGAAGCACCAAAACTCAGAAACATTAACTAAGTGATAAAAAGAATTGATTACGCATATGTAATCTTTCAGACATAAACTGTCAAGTCTGTGACTTGGACTGGATCCAGTCACACTTGAATTCCTTTCTGAAGAGTTTAGAAAGAAAGTACTTTCTGAACATTGTGACTCAATGGGAGGGTTTCCCTGACAAGACTATCCCTCGTCCTCTATACTGTAAATAATCAAGTGTACCTTGCCATTGTATCTTGTTAAACCACTGTTGTATTTATGATCCAACTTTGTTAACCCTTGTTCTATATCAACCAAGTACACTGCTGCTTCTCTCCTACGAGTTAAGTGCATCTCTCACTCCATTTGCGACAAATGCCAGAGGACCACTATCATCCTAAGAAATGAAAAATTGGCTGTGGTCCTTTTGCCAAACACAGTAACTGATGGGTGAATTTGCTGTACAATAGCTTAAAAATACAACTGCCTACTGAGGCAAGTAAGTGTACTGGTGACAGTTTCGAGAGTTGGGGATTATCCTTGGAGAAGAAGCTCTCACACTTTCAGTACTTTCCAAATGGCCTTCCTGTTGATTCATGCTGTTATTAATCCATAATGTGCCAAAAGATGCAATGTAAATTAACCTGCTATTCTGACAACAAGTAGATATTCCATGTTCATAACATAAATTCAAAGCTGTAACATAAAATATCTATTTACAACTAGCTGCTAATACAACTTATTCTCAGCAAAAAGTTTTACTTACCATGTGCAAAAGTTCTCCTAAAAGGATAGTTGCTCTAACAGATACATGATCATCACTACTTGTGATCACTTCAACCAGACCCTTAAAAAAGTTTAAAAAAAAATTACATTTAATATATAGCATCTTAACGTTATAGGAAATAAAAGTAACAAGCATCTATTCAAACTTGAAGTCATTAGTTACCTCCAGAAGTCCATTGGTGATAAAAGCTGAAAGCACTAAAGCTAAATAATTATCCATGAGATCAGGCCTAAGGAGAAAAAAAATATGGAAATAGTTTAGAAAGCTCATTTCTTAAGTGTATCTACAAGAAAACAAATAATGTTTTGTCAGCAACTCCACAAATCAAAAAGAAGGGTCTACACTAAGTTCCTAAAATGCTCACCTTGACCTGGCTCGATGGGGTAATATAGTTTTAGCTTCAGCAGCTACAAAGCCATCAGAAAGCCTCCAACAGTCCTGAAACCTGCTTGGATCTGAAATAAGAAAATATGGACAACAGTAATTATAATATTGGATTTCACAATGTTATTTTAATGGTTGTCAATAGGTAAATAATAGTTCTTGTCAACTAATATTATTTCAGGTTTTAAATTACATAAAATTCCCTCAGAAGGGATCTTTAATAAGTCATCTAATCCACAGTCCTGAACAAAACAGGGCTAACTTCAAAGCTAGGACAAAGATTGTATGTAGCAAGGTATCAATCAAAATAATGACATTTCCAATCCATAAACACATTAAACTTATTTAACAGGAACAATCATAACAATTTTGAAATGTACATCCATATGTCACAAATAAAGAATGATTTATTTACTTATCAATGCAGAAAAATTATTAAGCCTTCATAATCAATTGTGTGACAAAACATCTATAATCACAGTTTGAGGAAGAGAATTGCTGGAATATTAAGAGGCTGAAACTTGTTCCTTCTGGTCTCATACTTTTGCCAAAGGAAAGGATACAAAGCAAAGGATACTCCTGGGTTTACAAATGTGTAATTCTAAAGATAAAATATTAAATCTGCTAAATATAAAGACATGAAAAAGCACACACTTTACCTAGAAAAAGTTATGTCTGCTAAAGTGCAGTGGAGATAACCTACAGATACATAATATATAGAAAAGACTTTTTAGTAACTTTTCTGTAACATGCACCAACGCTGCTACATTTCTAATGCTTCAAAGAAGTCTAATTTGTAGCCATGTGTTTACAGTCTGTGTAAATGCTTCACTATACTCCACTGCTGCTCATTTATCAAACTTACAACACTTAACAGTCAATTAAGGATTTTAAACAGAACTTCAGAGTAGCCAAAGTGACAAAACAATAGTGACATTATTTAAAATATAAACAGTGAAGAGTTCAACTATGTAGAAGAGCTTAACAGAATTCTTACGTGAATTAGGTCTAAATACTTGCCTACACTGAGAAGTGCCTCAATAAATTCTTCTGCGATAACAGGGAGAGGAAGGCGAAATATATCATAGAGAACTTCCAGAAGACCTCGCTACAAAAAACAAAAAACCCACAAACTCACCACAACATATATTTTACAGATTTACAAAAAATGTCCTTTAGTTTACTATTAATACTGAAGTTGAGATTTTAACAGAGTGCTAAAACTGGTGGTTTTGTTTCAGTGTAACTTTTTTTTATTTTCAGTTTATTTTCATAAACTGAAGTAATATAGAAAAGAAAGGAAGAGGTTTTTTAAACTTAGAACTGTGCCTTTTTTGCACTATGAATTCTGCAGAGCTTCAGCTACTCAGATTGCCTATTTTTAGAACAGTTAACTGCTGCCACCATCTACTTATCAGTGCTACAGATAATTGGAAAGAAACATTTTTCTTTACCTCAGATTCAGGTCTCAATATTATGTTTTAAACTGATAACTACAGGTACTGTGAACTTGCTTTGACTTGTGACCAGAGTAAAAATGAATTTTGTACTTTCTTCTCTGCCATTCCCTCCTTTCAGACATACAGGGTGTGATTCCATTCTCGCAGAAGTTCTATAATGGAATTATAGGCTTGAAGTTGGGGGACAAAAACTCGAGTCTCATAACTGGAGTCTGTGTTTAAACCACTAAATTATTCAAAATTTTAAGAATATATTAATTAGAACATCGAATATTATTCCTACATAAGTACTACATATTTACCACCTACCCGTATTTCCATATTTGGTATACAGAGTACCCCAATAAGAGACTGAATGCCAGAATTTCCAGGTTTGCACAGGCTGATAATACCTAGAAAACATTAAATACATTAAAACACTCCTTCTAAAAAAAAAAAAAAAAGTATGATGTATTTTTAAATCTTATTTCCAGTTTGATTATAAGCACAGATGAAAAAATTACTAATCTAAAGCATTTTCACCTTTATAATGCAAATCCTTTCCAACCAGTAATGTTTAGCAAAACTTTCTCATCACAAAACTTTGATTCCTCATTAAAAATTATACCTTTTTTTGTCCTTTCCACTACGAACATTAGTTTCAAACTACGCAACATCATTTACATGGCATAAGGTGCAGAGAGAAAAAGCTGTCAAAATAGAACCTGAAAGATTTTAATCAGCTTGGCAGAACTGCGAGCAGTTTCTCTATCAAAGGCTGTATTTTAACCAAACAAATTGTTCAGTTCCTTTAAAATCTGACGTGAATTCTAAACAGCAAGTTTAAACATATCTGGCATTAACACTGTCCATTCGCCATTTTAAAGCAACTTTTACAAAAAAACAGTGTTCATCTCCAGAAGTTTCAATACAGTAAATTTAACTTTGCGTTAAATGTCAGAGCCTCTTAAAATTTGGTCCTTTTGCACTGCATTTTTACAAAATTACTGTAGTATTTCAGTATCTTGAAATAATTTCTAAATATTACAGAATACCACCTGAAGATCACACTGTTTCTCAGCCTCGATTTATATTGTCTCTTTAGTAAAATGTGGCTGCAAAGACAGTAACCTTGCTCAGTTCCTTGGTCATTCTCTTCATACTTCAGAGAATAGATTAAAATTTAGAGAGATGTGCTAGCCAGAAAACAAACAAGTTTCTCCATAGTGCAACTTCAAATGAACAAAGAGAATCCAGGTATGCACACCTTTATCTCATGTATTATAAATTTACAAAGCTCCATTCTTCAAAAATTACTGACAGACGAAAAAGATCACCTACTATAGTAGGTTATTTTCACTAATACTTTTAACTGCTTTACGTGAACTTGAAGAAAGTCTTCAACTTCAAAGCTTTCATGTCACAAAAGCTTAGACAAGCACATGTTGGACTCAGGCACATGAATAGCATTTAAGTGTGTTCCACAGTGCACCTCCAAGGACGTATTTTTCCAAGAGCATACAGTGACCACATCCTAGTGGCAATGCAGGAATAGATTTGGGTGCATGCAGTCACTGCTGCATGCCTCAATTTTATTTCTAAGGACATGATTGCACATAAGGATAAAAGACACTGCAACCACCCATTCTGAAGAATAACCCAGTCTGAAAAATCAGAAAAGCAGACTAGCAAGCACAGCAGGCAGTACAGATGGGCAAAAACCCACCTAAAAATCCAGAACAAAACCCAAGAACACACTCAAGTCTCATTTTGCTATGTGTCTTTTGGGAAGACTGATAGGGTAACGACATTTTGCAATAAAAACATTTAAGATATTAGTCTCCAACATCAGCAGTAGTATAAAAAAGGAAACAAAACACATAATCACTAAAATGCCACGGCAAGTAATATTTCCAACACAATTGTTTCTACAGTTGTGAGTTTTCAGGCACATGCTATCATTGCTACATGTCTGAGTAAGGGAAGATGCAGCAACACTCCTATCTGAGACTGCTTCCTAAAACTTCCCAAGCTATCAAAAACTTTCCAAGTTTATTTCCCAAAGGGAGAAACTTTTGAACAATACCTGGATATTAAATGAAGCTTACTGATAATTTTAAGAGCATTACAAAATAAAGTCTAAAATAGTCTTAGAATGAAAAAGGCTTTCCGTATAGTCTGAATCTTTCATGTACAGCCTGTAAAAATTTGATGCAAAATTTTGGTAAATGGTTGCATTAGTAATCTTTAAGACATTATCTTTCACATGAGAAACCCAAAATAACGTCCATTTGCAATTTCTCTTCAGCTCTAGCACCTGCTAAAAGCTAGTGTTAACAAAACAATGCTGTTAGTATCTCTTCACATAGACAAGAACACTTCTTATTTACAGTGGCAGAAGCATCTCATAAAGAAATTCTTATGTTGTTATTCTCAACATCCTCTCACCCATCACATGTCAAGTACCATCAAGACACATCTAAGGTATTTTCTAAGAGGGATAAGAAGAGCTGTGTCTTGTAAGTAGAGTTAGTCAAAGAAAACTACATATGCATCCTCCAATTTAATATCAGAACACATTTTAGTACTATCGTAGGAAGGTATTGATAAAAATCAGACACAGCAAATAAGACAGATTCTATGTTTAAAGAAATCATTCTTTTTACTACAATGTAAAATTCCTCTTCTAATAATAATAAAACAACAACAACAACAAAAAAAACCCCAAAAAAACCAACTTACCTGCCCATGATCGAAATGCTGCCACTATTCCCATTTTACTAGCTAGGAACCGTGCTTCTCTGTCCTCCCTGTCATTAAAACAACAAATGTCACAATACAATCAATGACCATAGAACAAACAGCATTACTAAAATAGCAAGTAAAAAGTAGTTAACTGAAATTTTAGATGGGGGACAAAACCCAGAGTGAGAAAAATATTTTACATATGCAAATACATGTGTGTATATATGTATTTATGTAATACATATATACATTCACAAAGAGTATGATTTTTAAGTATTGTTACTTTTCCTTTTTATGGGGAATTACCATGGCAGAAGGGTATCATCATGAAATGAACAGCTATATGTGGTCAGATGAATCACTCTGCATCTTCACTGACAGTGATTGTATGGCCAGGGATTTGGATGTTACTCAGTTACCCAAATCTAAGCATCTAATCACAGAAACACAGAATAGTTTGGGCAGGAAGGAACCTTAAAGATCACCTAGTTTCAACACTCCTGCCACAGGAAGCGACACCTGCCACTAGACCAGCTGCTCAAAGCCCTATCCAAGCTGGCCTTGAACACCAACAGGGAGGGGCCAGCCACAGTTTCTCTGGGCGACCTGTGCCAGTGTCTCACTACGCTCACAGTATAAAAAATTCTTCCTAATATCTAATCTAAATATAGTTTTCAGCTTTATACTGTTCCCTCTTGTCCTATCAAAATGTGACCTTCTAATGCCACTTGGTAATTAGAAAAACCTGAATAATTAAAGTGGGAATAAATCTCAGGAGTAGTAGTCCAAACTCAGGCACAAACAATTTGTCAGCTATGAGATCAGTTTATACTCAAGGCTTGATCCAGTTAGGTCTTTGGAAACTCTCAAGGATGAAAGTTGCAGGACCTCTCCTGTTCCAACACCTGACTGGCCTTGCAGAAAACTGCAAAACTCTCCCCACTTGTATATGAACTTGGAACCTGACTTGTTTCAGTTTCTCATTATTGCTTCTTGTCCTTCCACCATTCACCATCATGAAGGGCCATGGATACATCTCTTAATAGTCTTTATAGATATCAGAAAGACTGCTATTCCAGGGCGGAGGGGTGGACAGGTTCCAGGCTAAACAAGCCCTACTAAATTATTTAATAGTCTCTTAGGAAGCTGCATTCTAACCTACTGTATTCAAGTAGTTTAGTATTAGTTGATTGCTTCATTTTCAGTTTGGAAAGAAAAATAGTTTAATTCCAATGAACACAACTGGTAGCACATGTAGCAGCACTAACACTTACTTGAGTTGTCCTTCTGCTGTGTCTGGATTATGCCTGTAGTGAAAATCTGTGTAAGGAGCTAAAATTCGCTGAACAAAAAAAAGACATGCATTACTTTCACATGAGAATACAGTTAAATGGGTCTTGCCCTTCCTCAGTCCCACTCCAATATGTCATGTTATTCCTGCTTTATATATCACTATGTTCTAGCCTAAAATGTTGTATTTCAAACATTTTGCACAAACACAGAGGGTGAAATCTGAGATAAAAATTAAACATTTTCATTAGTAATCCACAGTTTAACTTCTGTCACTAAACAAGTAAAACTGAACCCACCTCTAATTCTACATCTGCTCGCACATACTGTCGGGTCTTTGGATGATTAATGAGGTGCAAAACTGTAGTTATCAGAGCCTCATTTATTCGGCTTAGTTGACAATCAATCACATTTTTCAAGATGGTACTTAAACCACCCCGAAGAGCCACCACCTCGGGATTCTGAAGTGCTAAATAAAAAGAACCAGGTCACTCTGATGAGTAATGCGAAAGAAAACATTTCACGGCTTCAGGTATGACAAACCTGTAATCTCTTTAGCACATACACCTTATTCTTCCTCAACACTGCTAAGGCACATGTAAAGCTTTTAATGGAAGTGACAGACATTCATAATTGAGATTTTAGATTAATGTATCATGAAAAAAAAATACTGGTCAGTCAAGTCATCAACTGTGCAGCAATTTATAAACTTATTTCCAATCAAGTTTTCATGCAGAAGTTTCTGGATTTCTCTGCAAAAAGGTTTAGTTCTTTACTGGACTGACAGGGATACAATATTTATACTAGAGTATAAAAGACCAACAGATTGTTCATTTCTCTGCATCAGAAGTCCGTATCTTGAAAAAAATGCTGCAGCTATTTCCCACTGAGTTTGAAAAACTGAAACTCAGCATCCACGTGCAAGTATAGGGAGTTAGTATAAACCACTGTCCAGACAGCCTTTACATGGACAAAAATACCGAATTCCAGAAGTCAGCTAAGCACAGTACCTGCTGTAAAAATTTTTCAACGACAATTTTTTGTAGTTTTCTGAACTCTTGTGCATTTGTCAGTATCTCATGTATGGGATTTCCCATACTTCCAGCCCATTAGTTTTAAAAACATCAATTGCAGAAGGGAAACATTTTTAAGGTAATGTAAAAATTGGCAAGTCTTAAAAGGAACAAATAACCCCTGAAATCTTCAGGAACTTAAGATATTTTGATTTCAAGTTGAAGTGCTTTTGTTTTACTTGAAAATAATTACTAAAGTCCATGAATGGACATTAAGAACACTTAACATCTAATTCATTGTTAAAGGAATACCCTTAATTATTTGAATACAATCTATTTAATTCAAACCCACAGAAGGTAATATCTTAGAAAACTGATCACAATTGTGTAAAAAAATTTCTTTATTAGCTTTCAGTTGTCTTACCTAGTTCACAGATAATGGCTATACACGCTCGAACCATTCTGTCTCTTTCTTGAAGACCATCACTTCCAACTGCTATCAAAGAATTAGTAATAGAACTGGGGAACAATGATGCATTCACAGTGATCATCTGCCAAAAATGAAAGAAAAAGCCTTCTGGTTTCTTAATAATATTTCTCTAAATACACTCAAAGATTCACCAGCATCCTGTTTCCTAAATACAACTAGACAGACTACTCTGTATTACACTGATGTACCTGACAAATCCTCAAAACTATTTGTTTTTTTTCTAGAAATTCTTTGTTTGTCATTTTACTTTATCATTATCTTCCTGCTTCAGTTTTTTATTTTTATATGATTTTAGCATAATAAGAAAGGGGTAAAAAAACCAAAAAAACCCAACCAAACAAAGAAAGTTCTCTCTGATGCAGAGAGAACTATGGCTCCTATTTAATATTTTTTTTCCTAAGAATTTCTTTATCAACCAAAAGTGCTATCCAATGACACATCGCAAATTCTTCTAGAAGAGTCCTTCATACCGCAGGAGATTCTTCAATATCTACTTGCTTAATTAGCCAAGATGAAAATTTCCTGTTTCGTAGGCAGATTCTTAGACTGCTGCAATCTACAAAAAAGGCCAGTAAACAGAAGAAGCTACAATAGTTTTTGGAAGGCAATTGTCAGTAACACCCCTATGTCCTCTTACATAGTAACTGATCTTCCTAGAACTGCAGCATAATTCAACTTCATCAGTTTATACAGTTATGGCACAAAACCCACACACACACACCTTAAAAATGTTAAACTGAAAAGCAAAGATGAAAACAAGATCTGTTAATCAGGTCACTCTTGAATTAAAAAAAATGCAAAAAAATTAAGACAGAAGAACAAATTTTAATAGCCAATGGTTATTTACATTACTAAAGAGCTCCCATAGTATGGAAATCCCCAGCTGATAGTTCAGGACAAGAGGAATTTACACCAGATTAATGTGCAAGACCTTGTGCACACAAAGGCAAAAAAATCCACTCCAAAAAACCCAACTCATACCAATAGTTCTCGCCTTCCTCCCAATGATCCTTTCACTACAAAGGTTGAGTAGCTGTATGTTCACATTTTCTTCATAGTTTACAAAATTTAAATATACTTTTTTTCTATATTATTGAATAAGAACATCACTAAACACATACATTACTAAGGAGGAAATGGATTTTTTTCTCTGACCACTTAAAAAGGAATGATGTAATTTGCTATAGCCCACTCAACCATGTCATAACTTTTTTTTCTACTAATAAATAAAAGTGAGATGTAAAAAAACCACTCAATACCCAAACACCTAAAAATGTAAGGCTAGCTTTCCAAGCTGTTGTTTAATACCCCTTTTGTCTCCAAGAAAAACACCTTCATTGTTTTTAAAAAATTGTTTTGTCCTATATTCATTTTATAGCTTCTTCAGATGTCTTACAGGTATTTGTTCAATTTTTTTTTTTTACCCTCTTTGTAAAGGATGTTAAAATGGGAAGAGATTGACAATTTTGACAAATAATTTGAACACTTTAACAAGTTTACTTTAAAGATGTGCATTTGAAAAAAATTTTGTCATACATAATGTTGTCACCCACAAAACAGGAAGCTTTAAGGTAGCACTATAAAGAAAAAACAAAACTCTTCCACACCCACGCAGCCTTTCACTTTTACAATAGCATGAAGTACTAAGAACTGGCAATAGAATGAGTGCACCAATCCACTCTTCAAAATTATAACCTTTTTTTCTACTGATACTGACATATACTTCATGTGAGGATACAAATAGCCTCTTAAAATTGTTCTGCTACATTGTTTTCTTTGGTTTTAAGACATAAGAAGGGAAGTTTTTCTTTCTTCTAACATTCAAATCCAAGTATGTAGAATAAATACAAACTTTTGCCAATTGGTTCCAGAAACCATTGCTTTAATTCTGCTCTAGGTATTGAAATGCAGTGCTAAAGACCTAGGACAGGGGATGCAAGGCTACTTAAAAGCAGCTATGATTAAATAAATAGCAGACTCTGAATGTGGTCTTTAATAGTTCCTTTAAAAAAGAGGAACAAGGTAGTTCATATTATGTCTACCCCTGACTTCTGCTTTAAAAATAAAACATCCTGCCTATTAAATAATTTTAAAATAGTCTTACTGACTTCTGTTAGATGGAAAAATGCAACTTTATGCCACCCTTTTCACACCTGAAGATACTGCTGAACTGCTAAGCTCTTACTAGGAAATGCAGAGGTGATAAAAGTCAAAAGACACAGTGAGCACTCAAAGCCTTCAAAAAAAGGAGAAACTAAGTTTAAAAAGTATAATGTTGTTCTTCTTTTCTTCTACTTTAACCTCTATGTTTTTTTATCAAGTTTATGATTAAGTGCTGTTTATAAAATCATAGAACAGGATTAATATTTTCCACTTTTTATTCTACTCTATTAAATGGAAAAGAAGTGAGCAAATGTTTACATTTTAAATTTTTATGTCTATGCTATTCTTACATAGGCATTTTTGCTATCAAATACAAGGTTAAAAAATTGCATATAGACTTTGAAACCGAAAACAATAGTTCCCTGATGCTGGTAAAACCCAGATCAGCTCTTCCATGGTTCACAGCAGTTTATCTCCTGCACAAATGAATTAACTTTTTTATTTGCCTTTCACTCTCATCTTCTAGACCTCCATATAATCTTTAGGAATCCTGGTATCAAATCACTGAGTCTGAGATGCTGAAGGAGATTAAGAGAGATGGGAAGATGGCAAGAACAGGGTACCAAAAAGACAAGTGTGAAAACAAAGAATTTGCCATTCAGGATGTCTCTCACATACTGCTTGTAAGAGAGAGGTCTATGCCAATGCACAGTTAACTGCTGTAGTCCAGACTGGACATGTAAAAGGCATTTACTTTACTGATAGCCTGTTTGGGTTTCTTTCTGTTTGACCTTGCTTTGTAAGAAACAAGGATTTCTAGGTAGCAAAAGATGTTAGGAAACATCTTTCATCAATATAGTTACCAGCATGGAAGAACTATCAGCATCCCTCTATAGCATGTACATTCCATGCAGGTACATCCCATGCATGGCATCCTTGTACAATGATAAAGGAAAAAAAAAACCTAACACAAAACAGTAGTCAGCTCTATAATTTTTTTAATATTTATGTTTCAGGATAATTTTTTCAAATCAAACTAATGTATTTACTTCTTTTGCTTCCTCTTCTGCTTTCAAACAAGACAGAAGTCTTTGCTCAACTAGGAAATGCATAAAAAAGCCCAAGAATAAAGATCGCAAATTTCTGACCCAAATAAAACCAATTGATTACAAACATGTTTCTATTCAATCTTCTGATTAAACTTATTCTGACTCTACACTGAAGTTCTGTTTTTAATGCAGATTAGCAAAGAGCTTTTATAAATTGCAACTTCCTCGAGGATCCATTCCTGTATGGCTGTGGGTTTTGGTTGTTTAGGTTTGGAGAACATGGTGGTGTTTATAAGCCTCTTTTTGGCACAATTGTTAATCAAGCATATTGTCTCTTCTCTAAGACAAAATCCAAGTGAGGTCATTATAAGAGAAGAAAGTGCTATCAAACTTCCATATTTTCAGTGTAAATATATATATAAAAATACATATATTCATTAAAGAGACTGAACACATGCATTGCTTCTGGAGAATAATTCTTCCAATTACTTCAAACTACTTGAGCCTTCGGTGGTGCTCCCTAAGATGCTCAGTAGAATAATATAAGTACAATAAAGAATAGTCCAGATGAATAAAAGTCCAGTACAAAGGCAGAATACTTTGTTGCTTGAAAAATACACCTTTGGTAGCTGTATATGCCAATTTATCTATGACAAACTTGAAAGTGCAGCTACCACAGCTTCAAACATCTCATATCCACAGGTACACAGTACAGTAATCATAACAGACTATGTCTTATTGTGTATCTGAGAAAAGAACTATGGATAGTATCATGCTCTACGGATCAAGCAATAAGGCTAGAAGTATTCCTTCAGCTAGTTATTCCTGCAATGGCAATTTGCCTCATTTCTTAAATCACACAAAATCTCCCATCCTTTATTGGCAGATGCTAAAACACACTATATAATAATGATAAATAATTAGATGGAACTTAATCATATGGTTCTATTACCCTTGCATTCATATTTTTATAATTTTTCTCCAAATCTTGTACAGTTTAATCTCTATCAAAGGAAAATTAGCAAGATTTTTCTAGCCCATTAGAGATTCCCAGGGGTAAAAGAATAAAACAAAAATGGGTCTCATCACCAACCCCCTTTTCTCTTTTGAATAATGAGCTATAACTTCTTAAGATAAAGGTAAGGTATAAAAGACAATGTGAAAGACACTGCTGATGGAGAAAACCAGGATTCAGCACAGCTGACTGGTATACCTCATAAGACCATATAAAGTTAGATTTTACCTTTCTGACTAATCGAAGTGCTTGTGTTCTTTCTACTTCATTACTTTGTTGTATGTCAATGCACCTAAAATAAGTTTAAAAAGACATTTTGTTTATAACAACACTAACTTTCATGTTAATTATTAACATCCCATGTTAACATTTATGCAACAGAATAAACAGAAAGAAAAATACTATGACTTATTGTTTTAAGAATCCTGCCTTTCATCGAGAATACCCATTATGATTGGTCAATCATATCTGGTTTATGTTGTTTTTCAGTTATCTTAATTATAATTAAATCACTAGGACATTCTCAAACATACCAGGTAAGACATACCAGCTTCAGCAAATATTTTCTGAGCTAGCTGCATTTGTCACTTCAAATGAGACTAAACAGAGCATTTGTAATGTTTCATATCAACGTTTTATATGTTCTATCTCAGATCAGAAAAGTCCTTTCGCTCCAAGAAGATGAAACAGCCCACTAAAACTGGCTTTGTGTATATATTTATAAACAGAAATGCACACTTCTGTATCAGTATACTAGATTAAACAAGATTTTAACAAAAGAAAACCTAGACATGTTAATATTTAGATCTACTAATCAATCTGATCTTCTTCTTATCATTATTTTGCCCTTTGGTGTTCTTCTGTTGTGTTATGGGTTATACTTAGATTACGAATTCTTGGGCATGAACTATTTTTTAGCCCTAGCTTTGCACTAGAGGCTCTGAAGCACTATGGTAATAGAAAGAATCACAAAAACTCACATAAAAACAATTTAAGACATGAAAATTACTGATGTTTCAATCTTCATTAACATTACAGATGAATTTATGGTTAATGGCACTTATAATTGAAAGACATTTTTTAGATTACTCATAGTATATAACATATTAGGACATATATTGAAAGACATTTTTTAGATTACTCATAGTATATAACATATTAGGACAGTATTTTATTTGGATTTGCTGGTATGATGTATTAGCTTTCTGTTTTTAAAGGACATATTAATGTAGTTTTATAAGAGACATTCTTTTTACATATATCAAGAAAGTAAGAGGATATGAAAACATCTCTTCTGACCTGTCTCAACCATGAAAAAGCAAGTTATTTATGTTTATAGATGTGGTGTTTAGGGACATGGTTTAGTGATGAGCTTGAAGTGCTAGGTTAATGATTTGTGATCTTAAAGGTCTTTTCCAACCATAACTATTTTATGATTCTATGCATTTAAAACAAGAAAGGTGAAAAAAATTACCTGGCTATCAAGTAATCCACTTTCAGCTTTAGCACCTTCTGGAGAATACTGGAGTCTCGAATGAGATAGCGGAGTGCTCGCAATCCTGCTGCTCGCACCTCTTTTGCTTCATTTAGTAAAGCTAACCGCAGACTACAAGGAAGGAAAAAAGAGGGACAAACAGTTACTTAGAAGCAGGTAGACTTCACTATCTGACATGCAGCTACTACCTACTATTGGAAATAACAAGTTTGATTTTTTTTTTTAAAAATGTTCTCATTCATTTCCTGGCTTTCAGATCCTCGCCTCCACAGGCCTAGAAGGTAAGCCTTCACCCCGTCAGCAGATGTAGACAATATATTATTCTGAAAAAAGCCACAAACAGCTTTTTTTCCATCAAAGAAAAGCCTGTACATCCATTAAATAACACAAGACCAAGACCTGTATATAACTTGTTATTTGACAACTCAGTATTAAGTCTAGGAAAATTAAAAGTTAGAGGTCATTTCCTTGTCCACTAGGCTGCCAACCAGTAAGTGTGATTCCTCAAAACAAAGTCTTGACACCAAACAGAGACAAACTTGCACCTAAAGTAACTATATGCACCACTCACTAAAGATGTCATAGTACCACATTATGTTTGTATTACGTATGGCAGTCATAACTGAAGCAGTGCCACATGGCACATACTATAGTTTCATTTTAATGTACAATCAACACGTCTCTTAGACAGGTTTTGAAAGCATTTTGCTTGCACTGAAGTGAGCTCTTCCTAAGCATAACTGTCTTTATAATGTAATTTCCTAAATTCACTATCTAGCTAAAAATAAACAATACTGAAAACCTCTAGAGATGGAGTTTTAAAGTACTAACACACACTGTCCTTCTGAAGGACCTCAAAAGATTTGCCCCTTTTCCTTGACTACACAGGAAGGGAAAAAAAAACCCAGCCTCCCTGTGATTTGTTTTAGTTGGATTCTTTCAGCGGACATCTAAGAATCTAAATACTTCAGGCAGTAAGGCTGAATGTCTACCTACACAAATGGATTATTTTTTTATTTTCTTATTCTGGAATCGTCACGCATGATGACCAGCTATTCCAGGGTCAAAATCTTCTGAATCTTTCTGGACATTAATGGATCTGAGTAAAGGTCACTGCAACAGGAACCTACTTCGATGAGGTATCTAGACATGGTAGAAAGGCTGCAATACCATATGCAAATAAAGATGAAAATATTACTTTAAGCACATAGTGAATTACTTCAGGAAGATCGTATTTGTTACAACATCAAATATGATCCTTCACATAAAGAGTGCCACTAATTGTCCTTATTTATTTACTTTAAGCTCAGCTAAAAGAAAATGAGAAACATTCTCAATACCGTGAAGTAAGAAAAATTCTTCCTTAAAAATAATTGAACTAGGGGAGAGATTTATTTCCAAAGTCATTTCAGAAAAGCAGACTCTTTGATTATGCTGAATAGATAACAGGTATTCTTTAAATCATGAATCATGCTTTGTTTCTAGTTTCACAGCTTTGCAGAGATGGAAGTCTGAGGGATAAGCAGGTCTACTCAATGGTATTTTCCTGTTTGGACTTCTACCTCACAATTCACAGTTTGTTTGCATATGCCAGCTGCAGAAACTTCAGCAGTTTCGTTTTAGGGTAGAAGTAACCCATTGCTCATGCAAAGGGTGTTGTCGCTATGCATGATTTTTTAATTACAACAGCCAAGTACTGAATCTTGGTTCCCGTCCCACAAAGCAAAGCATATTACTTCTATATTTGAGAGAAAAACATTTATTGAAAGGCAGACCAAAACAACCTTTTGACATAGTTTCTCAAAACCAATTAATGCTTTGAAAGCTGGTCCGACAATTCACAAGAGGAAGATACAATGTGAAGGCAGAATTTCAGAATTAGCAGCAGTTAAACAATTACATAGGATGACACTATAATGAGATTCAGCATCCAAAAGCATAAAGGACCAAAAATGGATGTGCCACTATTTTTAAATAGTGAGAATGCAATGAAAATGCACAGCTAGCCAGAAAGATACAGACCTAAAATAAAGGCCATAGAAATCCATTGCAGGTCATATGAAAGCAAAAACATAGAAAAATGCACAAAGATGAACAGAAAAATTTCAATTAAAAAACCCAACTAAACAAAAAAAACCAACAATGACTGAACCGCAAAAACCTGAGAGAATCTTGAGCTTATATAGAAAACTAAGATATGCTACAGCAGGCAGAAAAAAAAAAAAAAAAAAAAAAAAGTAGGAAAACCTATGTGCACGTGTCTGTATGTGTGTGGTCTCACTTCTCATCTGTGCCACAAGGAGAAAAACTGAGAGATTATACTGGACTCAATGAATAACCAAAAAGGAAAAGGAGGAGTTAAGTAAATACAAGACTGTCAGAGCTATGACAGGAACATTTTCTTCATACTCAGTAACTGTTTTAGAAGGATGCATGAAGATCCCTATCGTAAAGCCTTTTTAATTATACAAAATATGAGTTAGGCTAAGAAGTGAAAATGATAGAAGAACTGGAAGAAATCCACTAGTAAATATTGCCAGCAACCCACCAAGCTTCACATCTTAGTATCTGGAAAGAATATTAATACAAACTGTCTTAATGTATTCACTAGCACCATATTATAAACAATAGTGGCCAAGATGGAGGAAAGGTAATAAACAGGTTTATACCAAAACAATTCTAAAGCACATTTAAAGGACTGTTTATGGTCTAAAATAAAATCACCTTAGGATAAAACTTGTTAGTGATGTGAAGCACCCAGCAGAATTTACACCAAGTGTATTTCACTAATCTTCAAAAATACTTAAAAGGAGTTATTACAACAGTACATAAAAAGGCATAAGGTGTTGCTGAAGATTGCACTAAGGGATATAAAGAGATTACAGACTGATGCAAAGTAGCTGCAGAAATCAAAATCTGCAAACACAAATTCAAAGAGCAGAGGTGAATAGAAGACTTATCCTGACAATTTTCTGTCCTGATTTTATCCAGGTTCACAATCTCCTTTTGTAGGCAGTAGTTACGATACAATTCCCGATTTGCAGGGTAGTGGGGGAGGGGCAGTGTGCAGAAATAGAGAGGACAATGTTATTTATATTAATGAGAACAGGATGGCATTACGAGAAACTTTAAGAGAACTTAATTATTACGTGCATGCATAGCTCATAAGATTGTGAAGAAAACTTAAGACTATTAGAAGTTACTTAATGCATATCAAGACCAAAACTTTGTTATAAACTCATACTACATGATTCTAAAATAGCTAACAGATTAAGAAAATAATTTGCATATGTACACTCCATATGAACAAGTGGCTTGAAGTGCTAAAAAGATGTCATGATTGTATTAACAGAAAAAGTGCAATACTACTTTGTAGTAGTATTGCATGACTAACCTCCTAAGACAGTATTACGGCTGATAAACATTAAGGCTGATAAAAAGTCTGAAAGACCTAGCAAAGGATGTGATAAGAAAGCATATTCACTACCTACTACAGGATCATTCTAAAGCATCACATCCACTCACTGCATTGTTTTTGACAAATCTCTGTTTGATCCACAGCCAGGTAATTGTGAATATTCTGATTTTTGCTTTTACAGCCAAAGCCTCTTGGCACATCACTAAAAGACCTCAAAGGTTTCTGAGGCCTACATTTTCTTCCTGCAGATTGCACCTGCCTCTGGTTTGGGTAAACATTCTATCAAGGTTACTGACCCCAATACTTAGAACTTTACAGGAAATATAGAATTATTCTTGAAATCACTGATTCCCTTACAGTTTAGTGTTTTAAGGTTAGTCATCCATACTTCACAAAAACTCACAAAGTGCTTCTTGCATCCCAATAACATCTCACGTTTTCAAAGGAAAGCAAGTTTGTTCTGTAGAATAAGAAGGTTTCTGTATTGAAATCTAAGATAACGTTGGCAACATCAGCAGAGCAAATTACAGGACTTGCATGTTGCTTAGTCTACCTGAAGCTCATTTCCAAAATTAACCAAGTTAGTCTGCAAGTTACTCAGAACGGCTGTATGCTATACAGCAAAATACTATCTGCAAACAGAGTATTACTGCGGAATGGTCTTAACTCTGTAGAGGAAGATTTTTAAAACTTCCTGAAAAACCTGCATTTTCTAAAAAAAGTCCAATCTATAAAAATGTCTGAAGAACCACCAATCAGCACAGTTATGGTTGCTCAAATCTGAGTACTTGAGTTGTATCCTTGATTTGAAAATTGTCGCTATAGCTGAATCATCTACATATAGTATAAAAAAAGTTGCGTCTCATACATACACACACTAGGAAACCAGTGGGCTGACCAAAGTAGCAACAATAACCAATAAAATTTACTTGCTGTATGTATTTTTATTTTTTTTGAGGAACCATTTTTTGGGCATTTTTCTAAGAGAACATTTTTACCTCTTCCTTAAAAAAATATCAGTTCTCTTTGGATGTGTCTGGATCTATCTACAAACTTCTTCCTAAAAAATCAAATGCTAATATCTGCACAAACTTTGAACATTTGTGTTCAAAAATATTTGTTAAAGAACTCTGAATTTTTAAGCTACACTCCTAAGTGATGCTTAGCTGCACCATAAAGCATAGATTACATAGTAAGATGAAAAGATATTTTAAAGCTTACAGCAAAATATTAATTCGCAAAATATATAACATTTTTATTTTTTTTTAGTTCTAGCAAGGAATCAGTTGTTTAAGAAAACAACTCACAATATTTCCACAAGAAATTACACAAGTTTTCCCAAAATTTCAAAGAGTGATGAACTTTTCTAAGCTTGCTTACCTAAGTTAGATAAACTAAAGCAAAATCATACTAAATACTAGATCTTAGTTGTTTCTGCTATCAGTGCTGAGCCTTTCTTTTGACTGTCAGAAATGAAAATAAAATAGAGAAAAATTTCACTTGGAAGTACGTACACAGAGCATTTTAATAGCAGGAAAAGATGTACATATAGCTGTACAAAGACATATATACACACCAATTAACATAGAATGTTTATCTTTAAATCCTGATTCCACATCAAGAGTATGCTCTTGATGCACATTTTTACTAAGTGTGAGTACTGAGGTATTTTTATGTCTAGGAGGAATATAATAAAGAAATCCAAACTTCTAACTTGGATGATTTTCCTCTCTCTTTGCCTCAAAGCAAAGAAAGTATTTCTGATTTTACTCATTAAAGTATTTGCATGTATATGTGTGCAATATGAAATTTCAAACACATTAGAATTACAAAATACTAGCACAAATTTACAATTAAATTTTACTTAATTGCATCAATAACAATTAAGGTACCTCAGTATTGCTTTAGTGCTCCTTACTACTTACCATATTATGATGCTGTCATATGTAAACCCTAACTTTTCTTCAGCATGGCCAGTATTACAAAGAAGCTGAAAATAAAAAGAAAATATCTATTATTTATAACTCTTTTAAAATTACTACCTAAAAATGCAGATTTCTGGCAAGAAACTTAAGGAAATTCATTCACAGTGAGTGAAAGCATACTAACTTCAGACTGTACCACAGCCAGCAGGCCAAGGGAGATTAACTCCCTCTGCTCCACTCTCATGAGACTTCACCCGGCATACTGTGTCCATTTCTGGAGCCTCCATTACAAAAGGGACATGGAGCTGCTTAAGGGAGTCCAGAGGAGGGTCACAAAGATGAACCAAGGGCTGGAGAAGGGATCTGATTCAGACAGGCTGAAAGACTTGGGGCTGTTTAGCCTAGAGAAGAGAAGGCTCTGGGAAGATTTTGAAGCAGCCTTCCAGTATCTGAAGGGGCTACAAGAAAGCTGGGGAGGGACTTTTTACAATAGCATTGAGTGGTAGGACAAGGGGTAATGGTTCCAAACTGGAAGAGAGGAGATTTAGGTTAGACGTTAGGAAGAAATTCTTCACTATGGGGTAGTGAGACACTGGAACAGGTTGCCCAGAGAAGTTCTGGGTGCCCCTCCCTAGATGTGTTGAGGGCCAGGTTGGATGGGGCTCTGAGCAGCCTTGTTTAGTAGGAGGTGTCCCTGTACAAGGCAGGCGGGTTAGAACTAGATGATCTTTATGATCCCTTCCAACCCAAACCATTCTGTGACTTTATGATTCATTTACTATTCCCAGCTAGAACTGTAAAATACTTTATTATTACATCCAAATCCCAAAGGACTTTTCCAAAAAACTCAAGTGACTAATAGTGATTGCAATAGCTCTGCACTGTGTCCTCTTTTTCTTGAAACAGGCATGTGTTCAGTCCAGGATGGTATTAACAGTTTCTCCTCAGTGAAGGATTCAGGAAGTGATTCTGTTAACTAGTGAATACCTCTGCTTTGAAAATATTAAAATTTATCAAACTTCATACCACATTATTTATAGGTATTTGATGTTAGCAATAAGAAATTAATAATAAAGGAAACAAACAGTTAAATTAAGGCTACTGACACGTTATATATTTCAACTTACATGTTCTCAATTCCACTGTCTACCTCCACTTGAAATAACATACTGTGTCCATTTCTGGAGCCTCCATTACAAAAGGGACATGGAGCTGCTTAAGGGAGTCCAGAGGAGGGTCACAAAGATGAACCAAGGGCTGGAGAAGGGATCTGATTCAGACAGGCTGAAAGACTTGGGGCTGTTTAGCCTAGAGAAGAGAAGGCTCTGGGAAGATTTTGAAGCAGCCTTCCAGTATCTGAAGGGGCTACAAGAAAGCTGGGGAGGGACTTTTTACAATAGCATTGAGTGGTAGGACAAGGGGTAATGGTTCCAAACTGGAAGAGAGGAGATTTAGGTTAGACGTTAGGAAGAAATTCTTCACTATGGGGTAGTGAGACACTGGAACAGGTTGCCCAGAGAAGTTCTGGGTGCCCCTCCCTAGATGTGTTGAGGGCCAGGTTGGATGGGGCTCTGAGCAGCCTTGTTTAGTAGGAGGTGTCCCTGTACAAGGCAGGCGGGTTAGAACTAGATGATCTTTATGATCCCTTCCAACCCAAACCATTCTGTGACTTTATGATTCATTTACTATTCCCAGCTAGAACTGTAAAATACTTTATTATTACATCCAAATCCCAAAGGACTTTTCCAAAAAACTCAAGTGACTAATAGTGATTGCAATAGCTCTGCACTGTGTCCTCTTTTTCTTGAAACAGGCATGTGTTCAGTCCAGGATGGTATTAACAGTTTCTCCTCAGTGAAGGATTCAGGAAGTGATTCTGTTAACTAGTGAATACCTCTGCTTTGAAAATATTAAAATTTATCAAACTTCATACCACATTATTTATAGGTATTTGATGTTAGCAATAAGAAATTAATAATAAAGGAAACAAACAGTTAAATTAAGGCTACTGACACGTTATATATTTCAACTTACATGTTCTCAATTCCACTGTCTACCTCCACTTGAAATAACAGCATATTGCACGTAAACCTATTTTATTAGCATGACAGTTTAAATTCAAATAATACTTGTTTATATGTACATATTCTTCCGAGGATCACATTACATTTTAAGAAATTGTACATATTGTGGAAAAAATGCATAGTAATAATGCTGAAATCCAAAGTTGTTAATGAGACAGATTAATAAATTGGCCCAGAGCAGCTCCACATTTAATAATCTATCTCAAATTAAGTATTGTGGATTTTGCATTTTTCTTCAGTGGTCATAAACGAAGATTACTATAAAGCATAAGGAAAGTGCTTATATAACCTCTTTCCCCCCATCTTTCAAATTTAAGTGATGATAAGACTAGACAATCAGTGCATTAACTGGTTATGAAGGTATGTCACTTCCCAGCATCAATCGGTTTTTATGTCATGTTGTTGGAGTGTCTAAGGCCACCACTGCTGCTTTAGCATTTCTATTGACATCTTGTGAACTGTAAAAATTGGCTGACAGAGTGTAAGCAAAATAGTGTGAGAAGAGAGTGAGTAAAAACAGTCCATTGTTCAGCTTCAGACAAATACATTAATAGTTGTTCAGGCTCATCATTCATACATCAAAATGTCTCCCCATCATTTCACCCTAGACACAAACAAGAAAACCTAATTTAATACATCAGACTATCCTCAACAGTTATTTTTCCCACTTTAGAAAAAACTGAGAATTATAATTCTGATGTAGGAAAAAACTCTTCTGAGAAAGCTGTTATTTTGTGCATGTCTGACAGAAGTTGCCTGTCATCTCAATTACCATTGGTTTGCACCTTGGGTGGTCCCACGACGAAACTAAAGCAGATTTTTGTTACAGGAACTCACATACCTTGCTGCAATTTCCAAAGAACATTGAGTTCACCTGACCAGGTCTAGTCTAGTTGTCAGTAACCACTCAACACATACAATGTAATCTATTAGAATTTAAAATGTTCCAGTGATTTGAAATGACTACCCAAACTCAAGGTCAAAGTCAATTACATAAAAGGAACAGTGTATCCTATCCTTCAGCATACCACACACTTCCAGGTGCATAAAAACTGAACTGAGTCCAGCAGAGAAACATGAGATGTCCAGAAAACATTCAGAATGTTAAATGAAAAAAAAAAAAAAAAATTCTAAAGAAAAGGAAGATTAAGAAGTTGAAGCAAACTAAAAACTGAATTAATTATTGTGACATAACAACAACAAAAAAAAGGAAAATTACCCTTGGAAATACTAATAGGACTTACTATGTTTGAGATTAAGAGATATTTTTTCCAACTTCACAGGCTGCTTTCAAAACTACATAAAGAACAATCTTGGATGTCACACTTTAAGAGCAGACAAAGTGCAAAAAGTATAAGAGAAAAATGTACAAGGCAGCTGCAAAATAAACCCATGAATGCTGCTATAAAGAAGATACTGACCAGCTGGCCTCAATGCTTTGGGTATTTGCTTGGTTTTAAATGTCCGGTTTTAAAAATAAAGGGAAAGTTTTGCAACTTTCTTCTAAATTCACCTTCAAACAACATCAAGCAGGTCAATGATTCTAGTCCAAGTGCATTTATTTTTGTACATGGCCAAACTCCTATAAAGCCAAGTAACTGTCATATGTTTGACTGTATCACTGAACAATTCATATGCAAGCAAATTCTAGTACAAGTATTAGGAAAGCAGTACCAGAACACAAAAATGTGCTTCTGGCTACATATCATCATATTTCACTAAAATAGTAATGGATTATCATATCAGATAAATGGCTGGAATTACATATATGAAAAATATGAGGTGTACTTGATCATGTGCATATCTTGATTAGTGTACTTGCATATCATGATCATGAGATGGTGGAGCGCAGGATCCTGTGTGGGAGGAACAGAATACCCAGCAGGACCAGAACCCTGGACTTCCACAGAGCCAACTTTGGCCCCTTCAAGCAATTATTAAGAGAAGTCCCATGGGACAGAGTACTAGATTATAAAGGGGCTCAAGATAGTTGGTCAACATTCAAGGACCACCTCTTGCAAGCTCAGGATCACAGCATCCCAATGGGCAGGAAATCAAGTAAGGGAGCCAGGAGACCTGCATGGTTAAACAAGGAACTGCTGGGAAACCTCAAGTGGAAAAAGAGAATCTATGGATCAGGGAAGGAGGGGCTGGCCACTTGGGAGGAATATAGGACTGTTGTCAGAGAATGTAGGGAGGCAATAAGGAAAGCTAAGGCTTCCTTGGAAGTAAACCTTGCTAGAAAGGGCTTCTTCAAATACACTGCAGACAAAACTAACACTAGAGGCAATATAGGCCCACTGCTAAATGAGGTGGGTGCCCTGGTTACAGAAGATATAAAGAAGGCAGAGGTACTGAATGCCTTCTTTGCCTCTGTCTTTACTGCTGCAGACTCTCCCCAGGGGCCCCAGATCCCTAAAGCCCCAGGAAAACTCAGGATGAATGAGGAGTTTGCTTTGGTAGATGAGGATTGGTTTAGGGGTCAGTTAAGCAATCTGGATATCCATCAATCAATGGATCTGGATGGAATACACCTGTGGGTACTGAGGGAGCTGGCAGAGGTCATTGCTAGGCCACTCTTCATCATCTTTGGTAAGTCATGGGCAACAGGAGAGGTGCCTGAGGACTGGAGGATAGCAAATGTCACTCCAGTCTACAAGAAGCTCCATCCCTGGAAAGATGATTGAACAATTTGTTCTTGGCACTATCTCTAAGCATATCAAGGATGAGGGGGTCAGTAAGATCAGTCAAGATGGTTTTACCAAGGGGCAGTCATATTTGACCAACCTTATAGCCTTCTTTGAGGAAGTAACTAGGTGGGTAGATGATGGTAGGGTGGTAGATGTGGTTTCTCTTGATTTCAGTAAAGCATTTGACACTGTCTCCCACAGCATCCTCATAGATAAGCTGAGGAAGTGTGGTCTTGATGATCAGGTAGTGAGGTGGATCATGAACTGGTTGAAAGGAAAAAGTTAGAGAGT